CTTAAATCTGAGTCGCAGTGGTAGTGAAGGGATGTGTGAGGGAAATTAGAAAATCTCGCTATAAACATAAACTTTATTTATTTTACAACAATTGTCAAACAAGTTATATCAACTTATATTAATCACTCTTGTTGACCCGGATGTAAGCGCGTGAGGGGTCTTATTGTGGGAGGAAAGCCGTGGAAAACCCACGTGGTCGGGCAGGTGACCCCTTACCTTTTCACGTCCGTTCCGGTCGGCTAGGTGAAAGGCGAGTGCGTTACCACTGCGCCACCCGACCACCTCGCAATCTCGCTAGTTGCCGTATACTCCGTAAAACATTCTATTGTCCCAATTTTGAAATATTCTATCACCTGATTTCATTTTATTTGCCGTTTTAGAATTTAACAGGAAAACCAATCCGTCCCCTGAAGTATAATCACGTGACAAAGAAGTCGATTAATCACGACCGAGGTTTTATAAGACATGTGTTACAGAATCAGACAAGATATTTCACTCCACTTTGTCGTTCTTGTCCAACAGAAGTTGAATAAGTGTACCGCCGGGTACAAGGATCCTTTTTTTCATTATTACACATACATATAAGAATACTAGAGTTGTCGCCCTTGGTACCATGACAAGAGACACAACTCTAGCATATAAAATAGTTTTCTGTCTGACTTTCCTATAACTATGATCGTTGACGTCAATTTGTTGTGATCTACCATGTAAACTATTAAGACTTTGTTGTGGTCTACCGTGTAAACTATTAAGACTTTGTTGTGATTTAACGTGTAAACTATTAAGACTTTGTTGTAGTCTACCCTGTAAACTATTAAGACTTTGTTGTGGTCTACCGTGTAAACTATTAAGACTTTGTTGTGATCTACCATGTAAACTATTAAGACTTTGTTGTGATCTACTGTGTAAACTATTAAGACTTTGTTGTGGTCTACCGTGTAAACTATTAAGACTTTGTTGTGGTTTACCATGTAAAGTATTTAGACTTTGTTGTGATCTACCGTGTAAACTATTAAGACTTTGTTGTGGTCTACCATGTAAACTATTAAGACTTTGCTGTGGTCTACCGTGTAAACTATTAAGACTTTGTTGTGGTCTACCGTGTAAACTATTAAGACTTTGTTGTGATTTACCGTGTAAACTATTAAGACTTTGTTGTGATTTACCGTGTAAACTATTAAGACTTTGTTGTGGTCTACCGTGTAAACTATTAAGACTTTGTTGTGATTTGACGTGTAAACTATTAAGACTTTGTTGTGATTTACCATGTAAACTATTAAGACTTTGTTGTTATTTGACGTGTAAACTATTAAGACTTTGTTGTGATTTACCATGTAAACTATTAAGACTTTGTTGTGATTTAACGTGTAAACTATTAAGACTTTTAATGTATTTATAATCTTTATCCGGTCTGTAATTTTGAGCATTTAATCTATAACAATATAAGTGTACAGTGGCTACATGCTGACTGGCAATAGTGTTCTCTGCAGGCAATTACAGCCAGATTCTGCATCCTGGTATTAAAAGCTCACTTGACCCAACAGGCCAAGTTGGCTTCAGGGATAGCATGGCCTTGTCTGTCATCTGTAAACTTTTCCTATCAATTGAAACTTGTCGTTAACAATTGAGAGGATTCTAATCAAATTTGATCTGAAGCATTCTTCGGGAAGGTGGAGCAAATTTTCTATAAACAGTAGGTCTGGGCCCCCTGGGACGAAATAGTGGGAAATCTATCAATTTCTTTAAAACCTATCTTGTTGTTTACGAATTTCATGATATTGTCCAAATTTGGTCTGAAGCATGCTTGGGTGAAGGGAAATCAGTTTTGTATAAACGGTGGGTCTTGACCCCTGGGGACAAACTTCCTAAAATTCTTCTCCTCCTGAAAAAATGATTAGAATCTGCATATAGTTGGTCTGATTGGTCCTTTGATGAGGAGGAATTAGTTTTATATAAACTTAATTACAAAATGGACAGGGAACAATAGGGGAAACAGAGCCAATTGTTTAAAATCTTTCTTCTGTAGGAATATTGGATGTTGTCACAATTTGGCGTGAAGCATACTTTGGTAGAGTGGAATCAGTTTTGTATAAACAGTAGATCTCAGCCTCATAGGGCAGGAGGATTTGGGTCCAATTGTGTAAATTCTTCCATATCATTTTTCTTTTGTAGGAATGCCTGGATTCTGTCTCAATTTTTTCTAAGACATGTTTGGATCATAACGATCGATTTTGTATGATCAGTGGGTTCAGGCCCCCTGAGCCAAGAGTGATGACCCAAAAAACTGAAATTGAGCAAATTCTTTTTAAATTTCTTCATTAGTTGAAACTGAAGACACCTTAGTATTTTATAAACAGTGAATCTGAGGGCCTATAATGGGGAAAAAGACACAAGTGTTTTAAATACTTTTCCCTATGTTAAAATATATAAATTTCAGCAAAATAAAAAGATGAGTGATACAGGACCTATGGGCCTCTTGTTTATTTACCTCTATGTATCTATATTATCATCCAGTTATATATATATCTCCACACTTCATTGTTGGCTTTTCATTAAATGGTGTTCAGGAAATTTTCTTGTTTTTCCTATCGCTCGATCATGAAATGGGTTTTAGAGGGAAAAAATCTGCTCTTTTTCGTTGAATATTTTCCGCTATGATTCATCTTATTGAGCTATACATACAAAAGTGTTAAGAAGTGTTAAGCGTGGAAATAACAAAACTTGGGCAATTTTTAACAACATTTGATGTTGAGATGATAGAAAACTTGCTTATATATGGACCCTTGCAGCAACAATAAGGAAACAGAATCCCTACTATATGTAACATGGGAGAAGTATTTCTCAAGAACCAGACTTCAAGAAATTATCCTGAAAACTTTTCAGAACAAATTTAAAGATGTAATACGTAAAGACGATAGAGACAAATACACCTGGGGCTGTGTGTTGTAGTAGATAGTTTATTTACCAAAATATACAGACCCTGTTGGTCTATCACAGTCTCTATTACATACGTAGCTACTCCATAAAATCACATACCAAAATATTTAATGTTCTGATTCCAAAACAGTGATTAAGGCAGGCTATAGGCAAATTTGATAACCAGATTTTTATACCTTAACAATGCTGGTTCAGAAATAGTAAGTAAAACGTCAGTGCAAATACTACAACCTAGAGACAACATCAGACAGAATTATACAAAATTAGGATATATATCGTAATTGATCAAGTTCCACAACGAGTTTCACTTAATCATCATTTCATCCTTAAGACCATCAAATTTAATTTAATTACATCCTCTATATGGCTGATGTTTATAGACAAGCCTGGGTATGAACAGAATAAACGACACAACAAATTCTGTTGTAGATTTCCAGGTTGTCTCCATGGTAACCATCCCAAAGATTCTTGGTTATTTAATCAAAGGCATGATGGAGTTTTAAAATACAAAATAGGTATCTTTGTTTTCAGATATAGCACTTTAAAACAGATAAATAATCAGTGAATGATGACTTTAAAAGATTTGTTAGAGTTATTGCCCTTGTCAGATTTTTGTGATAGATTAAGAAATGTGTCTTTTACAAACTAAAATCAAACTAATGATTTTTGTTAAAATCTGTGTAAGTCATTAATCTGATTAACAAATAGATCAAAAATACCTGTAATTAACACCAGGTAGGCCTCCATATAATCACAAAATTTTCCACTAAAATATCCTTGGAAATTAAGATATCATCTGAGCGTACAGCATTCCTTACATCAATGACAATTTAATAACACTTCGTTTGATAAAACTATACCCTAGTGCAAATAATAACTTAAGAAAAATACAAACCGAAAGCTTCCAAGGGAGACGACTCAAATACATTGTACATGATTATGTCCCTTGAATGTGACTTGAAAATTAAGGGTATATGCCAAAAATAAATAACAACTGTAAATTTAACTCAACATATTGTGAGTAATTAAGTCCTAATGTTATCTTTAAACACAGCAGATATCTCAGTAAGTTATAATACCTATGGCAAACACATATACTGATACACATTACCAACAGTACATATAGGACAGCTTTGTTACACTATTTAGGTCACATAGAACAAATAGCAGATTATTTCGATGTTTTCACCAACATGAATATGGCTGGTGCGCTAAAATTAGAATATGTCTCATCAACAAACAAATCATGTTACATTGGTTTTTTTAAATAAATGTTTCAGATTTTTATCCTCGCTGGTCTTACAATATATAAACACCTCCAGCATCTTGGTAACTAAAGGTTGATTGTTACACCATTACGACAGATAAACTGATCGTTCACCATGGTAACAGATAAACTGATCATTCACCATGACGACAGATAAACTGATCATTCATCATGACGACAGATAAACTGATCGTTCAACTTGGTAACAGATAAACTGATCGTTCACCATGACGACAGATAAACTGATTATTTACCATGGTAACAGATAAACTGATCATTCACCATGATGACAGATAAACTGACCATTTACCAAGATCGACAGATAAACTGATCATTCACCATGACGACAGATAAACTGATCATTCACCATGACGACAGATAAACTGATCATTCATCATGACGACAGATAAACTGATCGTTCACCATGGTAACAGATAAACTGATCGTTCACCATGACGACAGATAAACTGATTATTTACCATGGTAACAGATAAACTGATCATTCACCATGATGACATAAATGACCATTTACCATGACGACAGATAAACTGATCATTCACCATGACAACAGATAAACTGATCATTCACCATGACGACAGATAAACTGATCGTTTACCATGGTAACAGATAAACTGATCGTTCACCAAGACGACAGATAAACTGATTATTTACCATGGTAACAGATAAACTGATCATTTACCATGGTAACAGATATACTGATCATTCACCATGACGACAGATAAACTGATCATTCACCATGATGACAGATAAACTGATCATTCACTACATTGTCTGTTGGTCATTCCTATATATAAAGTTGTCACCAAAATACTCAAACTGACTCAAGAGTTACATACATATACAGGTGTAATACACCTGTATATAAATAATTCCATATCTTCAGATTATCACTGACGACGGTAAGGAAATATTCACTCTAGCTGATTCAGAAACAATTGAGTGTTGTTCCCTGTATATGTATACGTACATTTTGTCATATGACAAGTTTTTCAGCAAAATAAAGGCAATAAATTAGGATTAACAATTTCTATATAAATGTATTAAGAGTGTGAATTTCTGATAAACAGTTAATAGTCCACTGCTGGTAAACCTCCTTAACACTGAGGTACAGATACCAGGTCGGAAGGGAGGTAACTCTGTATATCTGCTGAAAGATTGATTTGTCTCCCGTTGACAGTGCACCCCTGGTGAGTACCATCCCCAGAATATCTGTGTCCTGTATATATGTGTCGATCTCATCAATGTTGGGAGATAGACGTCAATAATGTGACCTATATCAGATTGAGAATCACTATTGGAAGAGCGTGGAACATCCCTTTATTACTTCAAAGGCGATATCACTTCCTGTACATGGGGAGGTGACTGACGCATGGAAGAGCCTGGAGGACTGCGAGGGGGTTCTGAAAGTAGACAAAAATCTCATAATTGCACGTACTATAGGCTGGATTATAAATTTGCCTGTCAGCTTTAAATAATAAAAGTTAAATGGTCTACATAATCGGCAACAAATCTGAATACAGTGAGCCTCTAATATAACTTCAGAATAAGACACTCTAAAATACAAAATACCTGTACGCAAAATTTTGCAATCCAAGTAAAATGGTAACAAGATATGCTGAAAATGGACTAAGCGACAGATAAACTGACAAACAAATCAACAGACAGATGAACAGACAGATGAACGGTCAAATAAACTCACAGACAGATGGACTAACAAACAGATGGACTGAAAAATGAACTTATAGACATGGATTGATAGACAGATGGACAGATGTATGCACAGACTGATAGACAGATGGACAGATGTATGCACAGACTGATAGACAGATGGTCATGTCATTGGTAACTTAATTACCACCAGGTATATCATGGTTATTAGCATTATCTATAGACAGTATAGAGGTGGGGATGTGGGGGTGTGGGGTGGGGGGGTACGTAACTAACCACCAGGTATATCATGGTTATTAGCATTATCTATAGACAGTATAGAGGTGGGGATGTGGGGGTGTGGGAGGTGTGGGGTGGGGGGGTACGTAACTAACCACCAGGTATATCATGGTTATTAGCATTATCTACAGACAGTATAGAGGTGGGGGTGAGGGTGTGGGGGGGGGGCATACGTAACTAACCACCAGGTATATCATGGTAATTAGCATTATCTATAGACAGTAAAGAGGTGGGGGGAGGGCGGGATGGGCGTACGTAACTTACCACCAGGTATATCACGGGTACTAACACTACCAATAGGTGGTATAGGGTTGGTGGGTGGGTAGTGGGGTGTTGGTAACTTACCACCGGGTATATCACGGGTACTAACACTACCTATAGGTGGTACAGGGTGGGTGGGTGGTGGGGTGTTGGTAACTTACCGCCGGGAATATCACGGGTACTGGCACTACCAATAGGTGGTAGAGGAGGCGTGTTAGTCATATTTCGTGACATGTCTCCATCTGACAACCGCACACGCTTTGTATTCTGACTTACAGGTGATGATGGAGGGACAAATTCCTTGGTGGCTGAGCCTAAAATTAAGGTTCAACAAAGTTATACATACAATGTATGGGGTGACAGTTCAAATGTTTATACTATATGTAGTAGTACACAAACACTTTATTCCAAATTTATTTCTGTTAGTCCTGTCATCAAGTGAAACCCGTCTGCCAACCCCGACATCTTGAAAATACCAGTTATTATTTTTTTGTTTTTCCTAAATGTCATCAGCGTTTGATGCTATCATCAAAATAATTGAGTTATCTCCCTTGCCAATATTTTTGATATCATGGGCTTACTTGCAAAGGAGCGAGGTCGAGCATTTCCTGGTAGCGCTGTCGGCCTGTTAACAGTGATGTACGATCGTAAATTGTTCTGTGAGGCGTTCACAAGACGATCTTCTGTCATTCCTGGCTGTGTCATCTTAGAACTGCACATCAAACCAGATTACATCTTAACGGTTGTCTTAACTAACATTTATTTGATAGTTTTAAACCTTAATTTCACGATAGTTAAAACACTTATTTAACTTCACTCAATACAAAAGAGTTAATATTACAAGCAAATAAACTTAAAAATATGCATTTTGTATAAAAAAAAACCCAATCCGATAAAGTGTTACAAACCTGATAGTGTTTTGGCCAATCAGCATCCTGTTTATATCCAGCTCTAAGATACGGGGAGTGTTCATTGCATTTGGATTTTGTGAGCTCAGAAAATTTTCTGGGTCTCCTCTCACTACAGAAGAGTTCATCTGGAAGGGAAGAAACTCAAGATATCATATCATTCATACAATAATATACAAATTCCAAACATTTGAATTATTAAAAATTTCATGTTAAAGAACAAGAAACTGATCTATAATTTTTCAACAACATCACGGCTGTACACGGCTGAGATTTAGTATTAAGACAAGAATACTGAAATGCGTCGTGGTGGTTTCCATATTGCTGACTGAGACAACAGGACTGAGTGATAGTAAGGTACATTGATGTCTAGAATGTCTTATACAGCAACATGAAAATGCATAGGTAAGGTATAGTGGTGTAACTTACACTCCAAGTTTGTTTTTGGGTGGTCCCAACCCAATTAAGTGATGCCCCAGATATACCGCCCTCATCTCCCTCAAGGGGGCGTGGTACTTCTTGTTTAGGTACTGTCGTTTCATGTGTCATAGACTGAAAACAAAATTTGTTTTAAATATCAGGCTACACATATCAGCAGAGGACAGATTGGGCAAAAAAAAAAAAAAATTCTGCTGATATCACACAGCAAGCTCAAGATCTAACAGGTAACAATGTTTAAAGAACAATGTTTGAGTCTCCAGGTCCTACTTTTTTGTAAAAGAACAAATTTACTACCTTTGAGAAAAAAATCTTTTCAATGAATATGAACCACTATACACCACAATCCAGATCTTCAGCTACTTAAGCTGTATTTGAAATTACAGTCACACATGTGTGATGTTTTCTTCTACCTCATTCTTCACTGTGAGATTTTTGTGAAGACCTACCTGCGTTGTTGGAACAGGCTGTCCTCTGATCATGCGCATATTCGACGCAGGGGTAGGCGCAGGTGCAAAGGAAGTGAGATTCTCTCGGTTTGGTGATAAATTTCGCTGAGGCCTGATTGGTCGCGTTAGTTTACCCCCATAACGAGCATCTTTTATATCTCTGTAAACCAAATATATTAGGCTTTGATTAAAGTACGTAAGTGTGTATACCTATGTGATGTTGCGGTATCACTAATTAACCCTTTCGGCATCATAGGCGACTAACGTTGACATGCAGACAGGCCGTCATAGGCGACTAAAGTCGACATGCAGACAGGCCACCATAGGCGACTAAGTCGACATGCTGACAGGCCACCATAGGTGACTAAAGTCGACATGCAGACAGGCCGCCATAGGTGACTTTAGTCGACAATTTTTGCCATTGTTTTCGGATATTTTCAGGAAAATATTTGGCGCTGAGCTGTACATTGTGAGAAATATTTGGTGCTGAGCTGTACATTGTGAGAAATATTTGGCTCGAAAGGGTTAAGATAATTATAAGATACATATGCCAGTATAAGTACTTTTTCAGTGTCATAACTGTGGGTCACATATAAAATATGAAACAACAACAAATTATTTACACGATTCAGAAAGTCAAACTTGAAAACTGTTCCATGGTGTAAGCATTTTACTTACAAGTTTTTACATTGACACTGTAACACCCCTGTAATTAACTTAAACACTACTCGTTCAGAGAGGTGAGTATTGTGATGAAAAACAACCCCACAGATCTGTGAATGGCAGTGAAATATGACGTGCTGCACTGTTAAATTTGATATAGATTATGAAATATTGGAGAATATCAGTATAGTGTCAGCTGTGATGGTGGTTACCTTCCATCAAAACATTTACCACTGCATGTCAATTTCACACCAATAAACTATCAAATCAGTTAAAATTGTATTTTACTTTCAGCCAATTCAAATAGATTTCCTGATTTTTCGAGTACATTTAATTAGCTGTGGATTCGTAACTTACAGGCTAACCTATATTGTGGGGTTACAGATACAAAGGAAAAACACCAGTGTATTATCATCACACCAATAAATCATACATCCTATTATCATGTGCTTTATGATAAAGGTTATCCTGTGTATTGAGGTTAAAATGAAGGACAGTTAAGGTTCACATTTCAAAATGTTTAACAAAAAACTCAATCAGATATGTGACAACATATAGCTTTGTCTCACCGAATAGTCAAAGGAGCATTCAAGTATTTGAACCTAATAAAATAAACAAAAATAACTTCGAGGCTGTTCTCCTGGTACATATGTAGATAACATACTCATTAACAAACAAACATTGATTCTCTACCTGTTTAATAACCCCTTTATACCAGGTATATATGCATAGATTATCTATCTGTAATATACATTATGTACCTTACCTGTAATATAGATAATCTACCTGTAATACAGATAATCTACCTGTAATAACCTACCTGTAATAACCTACCTGTAATACAGATAATCTACCTGTAATACAGATACAGATAATCTACCTGTAATACAGATAATCTACCTGTAATATAGATAATCTACCTGTAATAACCTACCTGTAATAACCTACCTGTAATACAGATAATCTACCTGTAATACAGATAATCTACCTGTAATACAGATAATCTACCTGTAATAACCCACCTGTAATAACCTACCTGTAATACAGATAATCTACCTGTAATACAGATAATCTACCTGTAATATAGATTATCTACCTGTAATACAGATAATCTACCTGTTATATGGATTATCTACCTGTAATACAGATAATCTACCTGTAATACAGATAATCTACCTGTAATACAGATAATCTACCTGTAATAACCTACCTGTAATAACCTACCTGTAATAACCTACCTGTAATAACCTACCTGTAATACAGATAATCTACCTGTAATACAGATAATCTACCTGTAATACAGATAATCTACCTGTAATATAGATTATCTACCTGTAATAACCCACCTGTAATAACCTACCTGTAATACAGATAATCTACCTGTAATATGGATTATCTACCTGTAATCTACAGATAATCTACCTGTAATATAGATTATCTACCTGTAATAATCTACCTGTAATATAGATAATCTACCTGTAATATAGATTATCTACCTGTAATATAGATTATCTACCTGTAATACAGATAATCTACCTGTAATATAGATTATCTACCTGTAATATAGATTATCTACCTGTAATATATATTATCTACCTGTAATATAGATTATCTACCTGTAATACAGATAATCTACCTGTAATACAGATAATCTACCTGATTATCTACCTGTAACATAATAATCTACCTGTAATATTGATTATCTACCTGTAATACAGATATTATCTACCTGTAATATAGATTATCTACCTGTAATACAGATTATCTACCTGTAATATAGATTATCTACCTGTAATATATATTATCTACCTGTAATATGGATTATCTACCTGTATAACAGATTATCTACCTGTAATATATATTATCTACCTGTATTATTGATTATCTACCTGTGATATAGAAAACTACCTATCATGTTATTAAATTCTCAATATAAATATTTGTAAACAAACCATCATCACACCAGTAAACAAACCTTGAGAAGTCTCCTGTAGTCTCAGATCTGTCAACAAACGTGTTTGAATATCTTAGGTCACGTTGGTCTTAATCAAATCTTAATGCTGGAATGTAATGTGTGTAGCCTGCCGTGTAAAACAATGGCTGCCACACTGGACTGATAGCTATCTATTAAATATTCCTAATTCTAAAACCCTACGATAGACAAAGACCTGTGTATGTCAAAGTATTGTGAGTTTTAGTCAAAAGGAAATATGTATGTTGTGTCAGAAATATTTTTCATAGAGTTCAAAATCATCACAAGATCAACATCACATTTTGAAGGTTGTGTTTCTATTCAATAAAATAATTGAAACTTCAAGATACTTTCGTATTGAAATATATATATATGTAAAGTTTAAAGAATTTGCAGACAGAGCATTATCAATATAGCAGATATAGACAATGATCATTATAATGATCTGAAATCATTAAGTTCTCTAATCAACTTATAGAACAGAATTTAATATTGAGAAACTACCTGTCTATTATATTTTAAATTGTAATGTAACGAAAAATTAATTTTTTGATTAAAATTTAAATGTATTACTTAATCAGAATACAAGCTGACTATTCCACTTTTCAGTGTATGATGTCATCAGTACCACATTTATTATGTATAATATATGTCTTACAGAAGATATATTTAAAATACCATACAAGTCTGTTAACATCGAAATCTTTTATTTAACATGATCCAGCTTTATATAAATCTAAAGTGACCAATACATTCAGTAACACTAACACATGATACTGTATCTGTTACCTGTTACCTGGTAATATGATACTCGTTAGGGAGGTAGATAGTGACTAGCTATTTTAAATAGTCTTAATATATTGTATCTTGTTTTTTCTACCTGTAACAATACCTGTAATATTGATTATCTATCTGTAACATATATTATCTACCAGTCATATTGTTATCTACCTGTAATATTGGTTATCTACCTGTAATATAGATTATGTACCTGTAATATATATTATCTACCTGTAATATAGATTATGTACCTGTATAACAGATTATCTACCTGTAATATATATTATCTACCTGTAATATAGATTATCTACCTGTATAACAGATTATCTACCTGTAATATAGATTATGTACCTGTAATATATATTATCTACCTGTAATATGGATTATCTACCTGTATAACAGATTATCTACCTGTAATATATATTATCTACCTGTATTATTGATTATCTACCTGTGATATAGAAAACTACCTATCATGTTATTAAATTCTCAATATAAATATTTGTAAACAAACCATCATCACACCAGTAAACAAACCTTGAGAAGTCTCCTAGTCAGTCTCAGATCTCGTCAACAAACGTGTTTGAATATCTTAGGTCACGTTGGTCTTAATCAAATCTTAATGCTGGAATGTAATGTGTGTAGCCTGCCGTGTAAAACAATGGCTGCCACACTGGACTGATAGCTATCTATTAAATATTCCCAATTCTAAAACCCTACGATAGACAAAGACCTGTGTATGTCAAAGTATTGTGAGTTTTAGTCAAAAGGAAATATGTATGTTGTGTCAGAAATATTTTTCATAGAGTTCAAAATCATCACAAGATCAACATCACATTTTGAAGGTTGTGTTTCTATTCAATAAAATAATTGAAACTTCAAGATACTTTCCGTATTGAAATATATATATATGTAAAGTTTAAAGAATTTGCAGACAGAGCATTATCAATATAGCAGATATAGACAATGATCATTATAATGATCTGAAATCATTAAGTTCTCTAATCAACTTATAGAACAGAATTTAATATTGAGAAACTACCTGTCTATTATATTTTAAATTGTAATGCAACGAAAAATTAATTTTTTGATTAAAATTTAAATGTATTACTTAAGTCAGAATACAAGCTGACTATTCCACTATTCAGTGTATGATGTCATCAGTACCACATTTATTATGTATAATATATGTCTTACAGAAGATATATTTAAAATATCATACAAGTCTATTAACATTGAAATCTTTTATTTAACATGATCCAGCTTTATATAAATCTAAAGTGACCAATACATTCAGTAATACTAACACATCATACTGTATCTGTTACCTGTAACCTGGTAATATGATACTCGTTAGGGAGGTAGATAGTGACTAGCTATTTTAAATAGTCTTTGCTATTGTAGTTTTTTTCCCCTAACAATGCCTGATGAGTGTGGAGGTAGAAAAACAAACACATTTGTCCCACAAACGCACATGTAGGAATATATGTACACAGTCTGTATGGTAACTAACTTGCCCCTGTAGAAGTACATGGTCTGTATGGTAACTTACTTGCCCCTGTAGAAGTACATGGTCTGTATGGTAACTTACTTGCCCCTGTAGAAGTACATGGTCTGTATGGTAACTTACTTGCCCCTGTAGAAGTACATGGTCTGTATGGTAACTTACTTGCCCCTGTAGAAGTACATGGTCTGTATGGTAACTTACTTGCCGCTGTAGAAGTACATGGTTTGTATGGTAACTAACTTGCCCATGTATAAGTACATGGTCTGTATGGTAACTTACTTGCCCCTGTAGAAGTACATGGTTTGTATGGTAACTTACTTGCCCCTGTAGAAGTACATGGTCTGTATGGTAACTTACTTGCCCCTGTAGAAGTACATGGTCTGTATGGTAACTCACTTGCCCCTGTAGAAATACACAGTTTCTATGGTAACTTACCTTCCTCTGTAGAAGTACATAATTTGTATGATAACTTACTTGCCCCTGTAGTAAAACATGGTTTCTATGGTAACTCACCTGCCCCGGTAGGAGTACATGGGTTTGATGAGGAAGATTCCAGACTCCTGTTCTATTGAGTCTAAAGTCTCCATCAGAAGGTTTGCCAATCGTATTCTCTCTGATCCCATCTGGTCCATTTTGTCCGCCCAAGTCTTAGCGCGCTGTAGTATAAAGTAAGAATTGTTACAGTAGACTTATCAAAAGGGTCAACAGGCTAAATATAGACATGTATATGTATATATTTTGATAAAAATTGTAGCAAAAACAGCTTTTTCTGATAGCAGAATTAATCTATTTCTAATCTTCTTATTAAGTGTTTCTGGGTTACACAGATCAATAAGACTTTGGGTTCGTCCTCAGTTACGGGAATCTCTATGTATTTAGATGTAAAAATCGTTCCTTATTAACTTGCCTCATTCTGAAGTGCCTCCATCTTGTCCAGAATTTCAAACACATTCTCATTTAGGCTTTTGCTCTTTTTGACGTTTTCTGAAAAAAAGTGCCAAAGTCTTATTTCACATCTATGTGGAGAATGTGTTCCGTTTAGACAGAACACCTGCATCATTACCGTATTTTACCGCAAATAATTACACCTGGCGATTAAATGTAAGTACTGCTCTATCGTCACACATGTTGTTTGTTTTTTTTTTTTTTTTCAAAAAAATTGTGGGGGGGGGGGCTTAATTGCGAATACCCCCCTATTCCTGGCAAATTGGATAAATTGGTAGGGGGGCTTTTTTGCGGGAGGGGGCTTATTTGCTGTGAAATACGGTATGTATCCACTGCCAGAATTACTGACAGCAGAGGTAGGTGTTACAGTGTTTTGAAAAAAGTGATGTTGATTTAATTTAAAATATGAGATTTTCTTATTTGATAACTACAAAATTTAAGACATTTAAATCCACTTCAGTCAATTTCAAAAATTAATTATTTAATAATTCACAAAACGAAACTAATGTTCTCACCTTCTATTTCCTTCATGCGGCTATGATGGACATATTTACGAACAAGGTGAGCAAACCTCTGGGCTGGTAGTCCCACGTAATCCTCCATCTTTACCAAGGCATCCTGGGAAATATAGATTAGAATCTCCACAAACAGTCAAAAGGAAATAACTACATGAATGAAACCAAGCTTTTCCACACCAGAAATTGACCTATTTTTTCAGTGCTCTCTACTAATATATCATGTGATGTTTTAAGTACACAACATGGAGGAAGGAGTCTCTATTGAACTTCACATAAAATTTGAAAAAAAAACTTCTGCTATGAACTTTTTGTTATTTGCACTTTAGGTTATTTGTTTTCAATTGATACTAATATATGTTATATGAATACCTGATATGTTATTATTCCTAGTCTAGGTAAGATGAGTTGTCTCCCCTTACCTTGTATTTTTCTGTGTTCATTTTCTGATCATTAACGGCCCTCTTCATAATTTTGGCATTCCTCTCGGAGTCAAGCCTTGTAAACATGATGGCAGAATCAGTTGTGCCCTGAAATATACCATACAAACAGGTGTGATATTCATGAAAAGTCAGAAAAATATCATCACAGTAATCAAATTCTTTTTGGTCAGAGTTTCTCTGTGAAAAAGTTTAATGTAGTTTAATGTATCAGAGAAATCTCCATCAATGTCTGTCAAACATTCTTTCTTAACAGATATTATAAATTTCCTCACTAATACGAACTGACCATGTACTGCTATTTCACAAATCTCTCTCAGAATTTTATTTAACCTTATAAGTATTTCATTTGTATGTAAATCCCAGAGACAGCCTGAACAACATTTACAACTCACACTTCTAATTGTTTCTGTATGTCTGTCATACAATTATACTAACATGGGGTGAAGTGGTGTCAGATTGGGGTCGGAGGCGACTGGACGATCGTCCGAGGTTTGACAATTCACGTTGTAAATCATTAATGGTGTCCTGCATCTCCATCATCACCACAGTATTGTGTCTGAAACCATCGTAAAATAGATATATTACTGATTTAATAAAAATATAAAAATAGTCTAGATGTAGCACGGTCAAATAGATATTTACATCACAGTCTCGATAAAAATATAAAAATAGTCTAGATGTAGCACGGTCAAATAGATATTTACATCACAGTCTCGATAAAAATATAAAAATTATTAAGATATAAACAATGTTGAAGTATCAATAACAACATTCTAACAAGAGGCCCATGGGCCTTAACGGTCATCTAACAAAAAGCAAGCCAAACCTAGAAAGTGGGTTGAGGTCATTGAACAAACTTGGTAGCCTCTCCTCCAAGCATCTTACAGGCCCAATATCAGCACTCATGGACTTTTGCTTGTTGAGAAGAAGTAGTTTGTATAACATATTTGACCCCTGTGACCTTGAAAGTGGGTTGATGTAGCTTGGTACGCATGTCATCGGCAATAGATATTGAGATGAAGTCCTTTGTATATTTTCACACCCCTGTGACCTTGAAAGTGGGCCAAGGTCATTCATTTGAATATAAAATGCTATGGGCCAAGTATTAGCCCCCTAGGCCTTCTAGTATTTGAGAAGAAGTTATTTAGCACTTGAAAGTTGTTCAAGGTCATTAGATAAATTGGTAACCTTTCCTCCCAGCATGCTACAGACCCAATATCGGCACTCATAGACTTTTGCTTATTGAGATGAAGTCCTTTGTATATTTTAACATATTTGACCCCTGTGACCTTGAAAGTGGGCCAAGGTCATTCATTTGAACAAACTTTGTAGGGCTCCATGCCAGCATGCTATGGGCCAAGTATTAGCCCCCTAGGCCTTCTAGTATTTGAGAAGTTATTTAAAGATTTTGACATATTTGACCCCTGTGACCTTGAAAGTTGTTCAAGGTCATTCATTTAAACAAACTTGATAGCCCTTCATCCCAGCATGCCACAGGCACAATATCAGCAATCTGAGCCTTTTGGTTATTGAGAAGAAGTTGTTTAAAGATTTTAACATAATTGACCCCTGTGACCTTTAAAGTGGGTCAAGGTCATTCATTTGAACAAACTTGGTAGTCCTTCATCCCAGCATGTCACAGGCCCAATATCTACACTCTGAGCCTTTTGGTTAATGAGAAGAAGTTGTTTAAAGATTTTAACATATTTGACCCCTGTGACCTTTAAAGTGGGTCAAGGTCATTCATTTGAACAAACTTGGTAGAGCTCCATGCCAGTATCCTCTGTGCCAAGTATTAGCCCCCTAGACCTTCTAGTATTTGAGAAGAAGTCGTTTGAATGAAAAGTTTACGGACGGCGCACGGCGCACGGCGGACTGGCGCACGGCGGACGACGACGGACGAAGCATGATGACTATAGGTCATCGGACCCTTCGGGTCCAGATGACCTAAAAATAGAATAGAACCCTTGAAAAGCAAGCTTGATTAAGGAAGTATTGTAATAGATTTTCACTGTTTCGCTCCGTTTTGTGTGGCTCCGTTGTTAAGACACAACATCCAATGTTTTAACAAGATAAACATGAAGAGTTTCCTCGGAAACAGATTACTACAAAGTTAGAATTTTACCTGAGTTGTTCCTCGTGTTTTCTTGTGTCACTTGACAGCTGATGTTGTCTGTAACAACAAAATACCTGGTTATATTTTATATAGTAACATGTTCTACCTTAGATAGTTATCAGACAACAGGACAGTAATCTATATCGTGGTCTGGAAAAAATAGTGAATTTACTACAGTCTTAATGGTCGGAGATAGTAACATGTTTTAACTCTGGTCTTTTCCAGTACAATCTCTGTTTACTCGATCACTTAAAATCTCATCCATTTAAACATTACGGCTGAGACAGAGAAAACCATCAAAAAGTTTGTCAAATAATATCAAATGTAACAGATCCTTATGTATAAAATGTTAAATGTCAGTTAAGTCAGATGCTAGCTTATCTAGGTGTCAGTTAAGTCAGGTGTCATTTAACTTAGGTGTCAGTTAAGTGTCATTTAAGGTGTCTTAGGTGTCAGTTTATTAAGGTGTCAGTTTATTTAGGTGCCAGGTGTTATATTTAGGTGTCAGTTAAGTCAGATGTCAGTTTATTTAGGTGTCAGTATATTTAGGTGTCAGTGGAGTCAGGTGTCAGTTTATTTAGGTGTCAGTGGAGTCAGGTGTCAGTATATTTAGGTGTCAGTTAAGTCAGATGTCAGTTTATTTAGGTGTCAGTATATTTAGGTGTCAGTGGAGTCAGGTGTCAGTTTATTTAGGTGTCAGTGGAGTCAGGTGTCAATATATTTAGGTGTCAGTTAAGTCAGATGTCAGTTTATTTAGGTGTCAGTATATTTAGGTGTCGGTAAAGTCAGGTGTCAGTTTATTAAAGTGTCAGTTAAGTCAGGTGTAATTTTATTCAAGTATAAAATTTGAGTAACCCTTATATACGTACAGTCGGTCATACTGTTCCTGAAGTTCTCGAAGTGCAATGCGATCTGAAACATCACTTTTGGCAGAGAATTGTGAGTGGTGACTGGCACGTGTAACAGTGGGACCCCGCCCAGACTCAGCAGACTTGGGACCAACCACAGCCTGCGTAGTATCTCTGGACATCATCATACCTCCCCCAGTAAGGGACGATACCATTGGCTCCTGAAATAGGTTAAAATATCACATTGAATGTTCTCCATCAAGGAAAGATATACAGGCATACTTCTCATTGATAAGCTGGGTGTATCGGACACAAAGGCCTAGGGGTAGTGCTTAGGTCTCAAAGAGTGGTGGTTAGGCCCTCAGGGTGGTGGCTAGGTCTCCAGGAGTGGTGGTTAATCTCCAGGGTGGTGGCTAGGTCTCCAGGAGTGGTTGTTAAGTCCCCAGGGTGGTGGCTAGGTCTCCAAGGATAATGGTTAGGTCCCCAGGAGTGGTGGTTAAGTCCCCAAGGTGGTGGTTAAGTCCCCAGGGTGGAGGCTAGGTCTCCAAGGGTGGTGGCTAGGTCTCCAGGAGTGGTGGTTAATCTCCAGGGTGGTGGTTAATTCCCCAGGGTGGTGGCTAGATCTCCAAGGGTGATGGTTAGGTCCCCAGGAGTGGTGGTTAGTCCCCAGGAATGGTGGTTAGGTCCCCAGGAGTGGTGGTTAGATCTCCAGGAGTGGTGGTTAGGTCTCCAGGAGTGATGGGTAGGTCCCAAGGAGTGGGTCTCCAGGAGTGGTGGTTAGATCCCCAGGAGTGGTGGTTAGGTCTCCAGGAGTGATGGGTAGGTCCCAAGGAGTGGGTCTCCAGGAGTGGTGGGTAGGTCCCCAGGAGTGGTTGGTAGGCCCACAGGGATAGTGGTTAGGTCCCCAGGAGTGGTCATTTGGTCTCCAGGAAAGGTGGGTAGGTCCCCAGAGATGGTTGGTAGGCCCACAGGGATGGTTGGTAGGCCCACAGGGATGGTGGTTAGGTCCCCAGGAGTGGTCATTTGGTCTCCAGAGATGGTTGGTAGGCCCACAGGGATGGTGGGTAGGCCCACAGGGATGGTGAGTAGGTCTTTGATTTGATATAATCTGAACATTATAACAACAATGTTCAACAATAAGGACAATCACAGTGTACAGCATGTTATTAACCCTGCAGGTTGGAGACTATGGAAAGAAAATGACCATTTGGGTTAGGGCATAACAGAAACCATAAGGACCTGGGAAAGAGAGACCCCTTCAGTAGGGGTAGGGGAAGAGGTACAGAGAGCTTAAGGACAAAGGGGAGAGAGAGACTCCTAGGGTAGGGGTAGGGGAAGAGGTACAGAGAGCTTAAGGACAAAGGGGAGAGAGAGACTCCTAGGGTAGAGGTAGGGGAAGAAGGACAGAGAGCTTAAGGACCAGGGAGAGGGAGAGACTCCTAGGGTAGGGGTAGGGGTAGGGGAAGAAGGACAGAGAGCTTAAGGACCATGGAGAGAGAGATCCCTAGGGTAGAGGTAGGGGACAGTGACACCCCAACAAGCAGGGAGATGGGGAAGAGAAACTAAATTGTCTTTCTCCAAGGTTAGAAAATGAGAAAGACCCTTAATGGTAGGGTCAAGAGAATGATGGTACACATACCCGGTCAGCCAGGAGTATGTTAGATAATACTGCAAGAATCTCCTCGAACACTGAAATATAAAAAAATAATCAACATTATTTAATAGGCTCTTACACGACCTCTAAAATCTGTAAACCAAATCTTACTTTGATAACAAAAACAAACTCCTAAAATCCAATTTTACCACTAAAGAAAAGTAAACACAATTCTATCTTAAAAAAAAACCAAAATCGTCTCGTTTGTAATATGTATCAGATATTTACATACAAGACTGCTTACTAGTAGGGAATACTTCCACAAAAATGACCTAGTACAGTTTTTATTTCACAGGAAAGTAATATTAGTCAACAAGTATTCTTTATACACAGGTAGGTTAACATTGCTGAACGTTTTATCCAGGTTGATGATGACATCAGAATACGACGAGATTTAAGTGTGATGTTTTGAGGATCTTCATCAGAAGAAATCAGTGTGAAGCATACTATCATTGATCATTTGTCGGACAAAGGTGACGGACTTAGTCAATGGACTTAGTCATTACCACATCACATGCTACGTGTTGTGTTGTAAGAACTTCTATAGGTAGGTAATACTTACCATGATAAACATTGTGTGTCATGCCCTCAATCTGAGGCTCCAACTTACTGGAGCTGATGAATTTTTTGGTATCAATATCCTCCAGAATCTGACTAGGCTGGAGCATATCTGAAAAATATAGATCTGTAACTTTATAACCTGATACCCTGTGGATTAACCTGTCTCATCTAACGCCCTTTAGTATATAACATATTGGTCAGATTAACCTGTCTAATCTGACACCCTGTGGTACACTACATATTAGTCTGATTAACCTGTCTAATCTGACACCCTGTGGTACACTACATATTGGTCAGATTAACCTGTCTAATCTGACACCCTGTAGTACACAACATATTGGTCAGATTAACCTGTCTGATCTGACACCCTGTAGTACACTACATATTGGTCGGATTAACCTGTCTAATCTGACACCCTGTGGTACACAACATATTGGTCAGATTAACCTGTCTAATCTGACACCCTATGGTACACTACATATTAGTCAGATTAACCTGTCTAATCGGACACCCTGTGGTACACTACATATTGGTCGGATTAACCTGCCTAATCTGACACCTTGTGGTACACAACATACTGGTCGGATTAACCTGTCTAATTTGACACCCTATGGTACACTACATATTGGTCGGATTAACCTGTCTAATCTGACACCCTATGGTACACTACATATTAGTCGGATTAACCTGTCTAATCTGACACCCTGTGGTACACTACATATTGGTCAGATTAACCTGTCTAATCTGACACCCTGTTGTACACTACATACTGGTCAGATTAACCTGTCTAATCTGACACCCTGTGGTACACTACATATTAGTCGGATTAACCTGTCTTTGTTAACACCTCAATGGAAACACCACTTTGGAAGACTTAAGACACAAGACATTATACAGAGATCATGGCTTACAAACCAAATTATAAAATTATATTTAGCTAAAAAGGCTAGGAAGAAAGTGATGAAAATACAAAACATCTTTAATGTGTTGACAAAAAAAGACCAAAAAAAAATAACCTCTGTCGACCATAAGTTTGCTGAGGGCATTCCTAAATTGGACCACACCCTCGTACAGGCGCAGGTATTCAGTCACGATAGGATGGTCCGCATTTACTGGTGATAGTCTGAAACAAATTTGATAGGAACATAATTTTTATTTCAAGTTTGATTTTTTAGACTGAAACTGAACAATCTTTTACATAAGAAGTTTTTCTCAATTAGATTTATCAAATTTTTTACATGGATAAAAAATGATCCTTGTCACAAATGACATTATACTTACTGCCAGGTAGAGGTTCACAGCAGACCTAAGTTCAGTTTCCTTCAGTTGAATTTTACTGTGTATTTCCTGAACTTTATCATTTGATCCTGACTGACCTTAGTGAACTTTATGATTTGATCTGACTGACCTTAGTGAACTTTTGATTTGATCTGACTGACCTTAGTGAACTTTTAATTTGATCTGACTGACCTTAGTGAACTTTATGATTTGATCTGACTGACCTTAGTGAACTTTTTGATTTGATCTGACTGGCCTTAGTGAACTTTTGATTTGATCTGACTGACCTTAGTGAACTTTATGATTTGATCCTGACTGACCTTAGTGAACTTTTGATTTGATCTGACTGACCTTAGTGAACTTTATGATTTGATCCTGACTGACCTTAGTGAACTTTTGATTTGATGCTGACTGACCTTAGTGAACTTTACAATTTGATCCTGACCTTAGTGAACTTTATGATTTGATCCTGACTGACCTTAGTGAACTTTTGATTTGATGCTGACTGACCTTAGTGAACTTTGACAATTAGTGAACTTGATCCTGACCTTAGTGAACTTTATGATTTGATCCTGACTGACCTTAGTGAACTTTATGATTTAACCCTGACTGACCTTAGTGAACTTTTCATTTGATCCTGACTGACCTTAGTGAACTTTATGATTTCATCCTGACTGACCTTAGTGAACTTTATGATTTGATCCTGACTGACCTTAGTGAACTTTATGATTTGATCCTGACTGACCTTAGTGAACTTTATGATTTGATCCTGACTGACCTTAGTGAACTTTATCATTTGATCCAGACTGACCTTAGTGAACTTTATGATTTGATCCTGACTGACCTTAGTGAACTTTTGATTTGATCTGACTGACCTTAGTGAACTTTATGATTTGATCCTGACTGACCTTAGTGAACTTTTAATTTGATGATTTTTTTTTTGTTCTGACTGACCTTAGTGAACTTTTTATTTGATGCTGACTGACCTTAGTGAACTTTATGATTTCATCCTGACTGACCTAAGTGAACTTTTGATTTGATCCTGACTGACCTTAGTGAACTTTTGATTTGATCCTGACTGACCTTAGTGAACTTTTTATTTGATCCTGACTGACCTTAGTGAACTTTTGATTTGATCTGACTGACCTTAGTGAACTTTATGATTTGATCCTGACTGACCTTAGTGAACTTTATGATTTAACCCTGACTGACCTTAGTGAACTTTTGATTTGATCCTGACTGACCTTAGTGAACTTTATGATTTCATCCTGACTGACCTTAGTGAACTTAATCATTTGATCTGACTGACCTTAGTGAACTTTTAATTTGATTTGACTGACCTTAGTGAACTTTTAATTTGATTTGACTGACCTTAGTGAACTTTATCATTTGATCCTGACTGACCTTAGTGAACTTTATGATTTGATCCTGACTGACCTTAGTGAACTTTATCATTTGATCCAGACTGACCTTAGTGAACTTTATGATTTGATCTGACTGACCTTAGTGAACTTTTAATTTGATTTGACTGACCTTAGTGAACTTTTGATTTGATCCTGACTGACCTTAGTGAACTTTTGATTTGATCCTGACTGACCTTAGTGAACTTTTTATTTGATCCTGCCTGACCTTAGTGAACTTTTGGTTTGATCTGACTGACCTTAGTGAACTTTTGATTTGATCCTGACTGACCTTAGTGAACTTTTTATTTGATCCTGCCTGACCTTAGTGAACTTTTGGTTTGATCTGACTGACCTTAGTGAACTTTTGATTTGATCCTGACTGACCTTAGTGAACTTTATGATTTGATCCTGACTGACCTTAGTGAACTTCCAGAAGTGACTTAGATATCACCGCCATCACTGACATATGTTTTACTTGAGACCTTTACTTACTTTGATGAACTTTTCTGTCCCGGGGGTGGGGATGTTCCCATCTCCATTGTCTGTTCTCTCTTCAGATCTAAAACAAAAACACTGCTGTAAAAACATTTTACAATGACTGTTGATCTCACTAATTATCATCAAATCACCCTGTTACTGAGCCTGGTAGGAACTAACGTCTCTGATCATGTCACAGTAAACGACAATCTAATCAGAATTGAAAATGCTTTATGATAAGATGTTTGCTATTTTTATTTTTTTTTAAGATATATTTCACATTTTCATCACTTGACAACTAACCCAAACCAGAATGTTAACCTGACCTTGTCTATATCACACCTTACTAACCTTCAATGTCATTGTACGGTATCTCATCATCGTCATCTTCATCAATTAGCTGGTCTTCCTCCAATGATCGCTGTGAAGGGATGGATATTGCTGGCGACTTTGTACGACGATCTTCGACTGCTGCACGTACCTCCCCCAACTTGTTACGATATTCCTTCCTTAATGAAGCTCGACTAAGTGCAGACGTTGCTCGAATCTCTTCTTCTGTTTTAGGCACAATCTGGGTCTGGGTCTGTCAAATGTTAGAAATGCAGTGTCAAATAAAGGTAATATTTGAATTTGGGAGTAGTCAGCAAAATGTTTGAAACATTATTCTTAAATACCTAGCATGTTTTGTCAGTCATTTGTTTAAAAACCTCATATTCAACATTTGAATTCAAGATATTTTAATTGCAGATATTTAATATATAACATTTTAATTAGTTACAATAAAAGATTTTAATCCCAATATTCAGAAGCACAAATGTTGTTTAAAATTGAAATAATTTTTTGCATTTAGAAAACTTAAGAAAACCTGCTAGAAAAAACAAAACAATATTATGCTCAAAACAAACACATGTGAATGATTGTTTACAAAACATCATTTTAGATAAGATAATGAAAAGTAAATAATGATGAATGAAATTACTTTTTTCTTGTTTCGTCTTGTAAATTAACAGTGAAACCCTAATAAGCTAATTAACATACACTTTTCTCATAGATCTCATTTTTCTGTGTACACATTCAGACAATCTCTTCATGATCATTAAATAAAATGTTGCTTTCATTTAAAATTGCTCCCTGAAGTAAATTCAGAAATGTGTAAACACCTAAAAACAAGTCTTATGTTACAAATATGCCAAAATTAAAAACTTAAATTCCACTATAAGAAAGGTGTAGATGATATAACAGAAAAATCACTCAAGTCTACAAATATATACATGTATCACTGAGAACAGTCCTATTGATAAACTGACTCTGGTACAGAAATATTTTGATACATGGTCAGATGTTTATTGAATACAACTAGTAAAATTATGGACGCTGAAAGAAGACATGCTACAGGTTTCTTGGTCAGGTGTATGATGTTTGTAATACACAAACCACACCCTACAAATCAATACAGAACTTATTGCCAAATGGAATATTTTTGTTCATGAATATTAAATTAATTCTGAAATACAAATTAATTAAAAATGTTAGGATTTAATGCTTAGTAAAGACAAATTGTTATTCTCTAAAATGTTTTGAACAGAAGCACTAATTTACATTAAACAATTACTTTACTGTTTGACTTAAGTAAATAACTGACTCAGTTACAGTCAATAAAACATCAGAAAACACAATGTAGACTAAGAATGTGATTCAGAATCATATCATTCCAGCTATTCATAAAGTGAATTTCATTTTTAAACCTAAGAAAAAAGAAAGTAAAAAATATTCTGTGAATTAAATTTGATCTTTAACAGGAGTCAAACGTACTAAATCTTTCAAAACCCTTTAACACTTTCTTATAAGTTGAGTTCACGATTCTGGAAGAAATTTTATATCGAAATTTGAAAATAGATTTCTGAAGTAGGATTCAGTAAAAGGAAAGGTGGTACAGTATATGAAGAACTAGCTGATAATTCTGATCTGCGAGAACTGGTAAGAATTTCCGATAAATAAATAAGTTTGTGTGTTTGTGCTCCATCTCAGCCAGAAGACTGAAAGGAATGAGATATACATCATGATATATACAATGCTTAAAGACAGTGCATTTTCTGATATTTCTTAGATGACAGACAGAGGTACAGATAAGGGAAGATAACCATGAATAAGCGCACAAACTCTTCATTACAGTAATAGATTTACTTCTTATGTAGAACTAAAATAGATTATCAACATAAATATAAAATATCTTATATTATGTCAGTGACTTAGAAATAACATTACTTATCAATTTAGAAATAAGTCTGTGCATAGATTATCTCCCCTTGTAATGGAACATATGTCTTTTTTCTTTTTATCTCGTCACCTCTGGGGGAGTGACAAAATCTCCCATGATGCCTTGCATCGTTGTATCAATGTTAAGTATGCTGTTCTCATCTATAGATTCTCTAAGCCACTGTACTGGACGAAACTTCTGAACATTGTCAGTTTTAATTAAATTATCAGAGTTATCTCCCCTTGTTTTTAGATCAGTCATTTGTCTTGTATGTGATTTCAAACTTGTAACTCTATTTACTATTGGATGAACGTCTGTTTTCTTGAAGTGAACTGGATCACTCTCCAGTTTGCTTGGTTCTGGGATAGTGACAAGTTTCTCTGTGACAGGTAAATCTGAACTCTCTGACAACCTAGCTTTCAATGGTTCTCTGCTGGAGAGTCGGCTATCATCACCAAGATCTGTGGAATCATTTTTTTTTAAAGGCAGACCAGTGACCTTTAACTTCTCAAGATCATACAATGAATAGTCAAACTGCTGTGTCATGACCTCTGAAACTTTGACCTTTGACCTTATGACCTTTCTTTGACTTTTAACATCTGGATCATATCTTTCAACTTTCAATCCAATTCTAAGTGCATCATTCCCAATATCTTCAGACGGATTATTTTTAATTTCATTGACAAGAAATGATACTGAGCCTTTGTGCTGAGAGCCATCATCTGACTCCTGACCTTTGACCTCCACTACATCTCCATGGCCCCTATTTGAATTTTTTTCATCATCAATTTCACCAACAAGCTCATCTTTTGGGTAAGAAATATCAACCTTCTTGATAAATTTCGAGTCATTGACCTCTGACCTTGATGTTGCTGATGAACCTTTACTCTCGACCTTTGTGCTAACATCAGAGACTGGTAAAGACACCTTTAGGCCTGACTGACTGATTTTCTCTTCACAGTCTCCACTCTTAGTGTGGTTCACATTTTCAAAATCTACATCATTCTGGTAGAATATACATGCATCATTGATAGCCTGACCTGGTTGGTTGGGGCTCGATGATTCAAATACATCCTTAGACTGGTTTTCATTGGTCCCCTGTGATTGATCAAAATCATCAACAACCTCTGGTGATTGGTCAAAATCATCAACAACCCCTCGTGATTGGTCAAAATCATCTACAACCCCTTGTGATTGGTCAAAATCATCAACAACCTCTGGTGATTGGTCAAAATTATCAACAACCCCTCGTGATTGGTCAAAATCATCAACAACCCCTTGTAATTGTTTAAAATCATCGACAATTTGAATATTTCTTAAATCCTCTACTGTGTGCGAATCCCCTTGCTTTGGCACAACAGCTGTCAGAGTTTCTGGGATTCGTATGTTTTCCAAATCAATGTCATTTCCTTCACTGTCAGACTGATTATTTTCAATAGTTTTAAACATTTCTAAATTTTCTGTTTTGTCAGAATCTTCCAACGGAACAGTTCCAATAGTTGAAAAACAGTCAGAATTGTCTTCATTTTCAAAAATTTCAGAATCATCAGAATTTTTTCCATTTTCAGACTGAGTCGAAACATTGATGTTAGATTGATTAGAATGTTCAGAATTTTCGACAGTTTCAGGTGGAAGAGAAACTACAGCGAAACCAGAAGCCAGTATGCTGCCCTCAGTTCCATCGCTGATCTGAAAACAACATCAATCACAAACAATAGGTCAACCATTTAGAAACATAAATCTTATCAGAATTCCTCAAAACTGACTTTAGCATGGGCAACATCATGTATCGGCTGATCAGGTCATTATATATTTATTTTTGTTGAAATGTTTATTGTTGAATTAGTTGAAAACTCATAACAATTGATGTAAACACAGTCCTAAACCTCCTGAAGTATCTCTAGGTGTAACTTTTTCAACTTTCCTAAAATCTGCAGGTTTATATTTATACATATATTTTTCAGGCCTCAGCAAAATCTATTTATAGATTTCTTTTACACAACCAGAAACAAAAGGATGCATTTTGGCTCTTAATTTCAACAGACTTGATAAATTCATTAATAACAAAGAAATTATTCTGATAAGGTTGTGCATAAATTATACAGTAAAAATTGCAGAATTTTGGAATTTTAGCCCTTGTTAACTAGTCATGTCTGCATGCCCCTGACAATAGCCTGTCATTATGTTTAGTATATAATCTCCTACAGATGGTAATGTAGAACTACATATAAGTCTAGTTCTGATGTGTTACACACATTATATGATACCATAACAGGTAAAAGTGGAGAATTCTGGATTAATTTCACTTATCTACAATAAACTATATGTAAACATTATTTGAATTTTTAAGAGCCTTATTTTTTCTGATTTTTTAAAATAAATTTTTATCTCACAAAATTAGATATAGTTATATTAGAATAATGATGTATAAACAGTGTCACCTACACCATCAAGGTCCAGGGTGACAACAGTCTGACAATATACACCCATAACATGATTCAGAGTGAGTGATCATGAATGTAGGAAGTCAATTATGATTAATTTTGACAAACATTGATGATAACGATCATAAATACTTAATTAACCTTACAAATAATTACCATTATGACCTGATCACACCTGTAAACCTACTGGAACCATACCTGTCAACTTTCCTGATTCAGTCTGGAGTTCCCCAATGTTCATTGAACAGTATAAGGGTATTAATTACCCGGTGATTATCAGTTAATTAATACCTTAACAGTCGTCCACACCGATACATCCCAAACCTGACATATTGTTGACAGTGTTATGTCCAGTCTATGATTTCAGTACTGAGTGAGGCTATGAAAACATGAATGTTTTTAGTAAGTCTATTTTGATTTTAGCTGGGCTGTAGGGCCCTTGTGGTCAGTTCTATTGTTATCACCAGTGGATTAGGGCGTCTGTCCAGTCTGATGAATGGGTCAACACAATGACCTGTTGGTTAACATTGAATAAGTGAATACAGTTAATCATTATATATTGCCGTCCTTATAGAATTAAAAGGTAGGCCAAGTATTAAAAAATATCAGGTGTATATCATATAATGAATACATATCTGTTGTTAGGTAGAACTATTTAAAGTAAAAGGCCAAGCAAAAAAATGTTTTAGATATATATTAATCTAAAAACAAACAATTCTTGAAACAATAAATGAACAGTTGATAGTTAATATATACATACATGTATATATATGTATACAGACCCTTTTTTATTAAAAATATTGATAACCTTGCATCAATTGACTTCAAAAAATGTTGTAAAATATATGATTATCAGTTATATAACTCCATACTAATGCTTGTATCTTACATCAGATTAAAATAATCACCAGAAACAAACATTTGTTTACTTGGCCTGGTTTGTGATAATTGGTTACAGTAGTGGTGGTCTGTTAATCCTTTCCCCATTGACCATCATAAATAAATTACTAATATCCTACCTTTGCTTTTGGGGGCAAAAGTCGTACCATCTGATCGCAGAAAAACATGATGTGTGACAAATATCTACAGTTAACTATACATAACCTACTGTCACCTTAAAATCTCTACCAGTCCCCATCACATCTTAGGTATGAAATAAAATATTGTCCATACAGCTAGATTTTCTAAAAAAAAGTCTGCGCCTGCAATAAAATCTTTATTTTCACGAAATTGTGAGAATGAGTCTGTGTGTATAACAATAAAAAAAAACATACTGTGAATTAGGTATCACCATAGTAACACAGAGGGTATTAGGTCATCACCATAGTAACACAGAGGGTATTAGGTCATCACCATAGTAACACAGAGGGTATTAGGTCATCACCATAGTAACACAGAGGGTATTGGGTCATCACCATAGTAACACAGAGGGTATTAGGAACATGTAAAACAATTTCTTTATCTCAGTGATTAACACTGGCTATGTTTGACAATGGAAATGGAAAACTGACTGATTAGTTGGGGTCAAATTAAAAAAAAATCAGGGAGGAATGAAGGTCAAGGTTGCAACAAAAGTCAAGGTCACCTGATACATTGGACTTGTTCCATTATCATACAAAATGAGTTGGAAAATCGGACTGGTTCCGTGGTCGCAAACTTTGATACCATGATACAGGTATCCCTCTTCATTTCCTGGATATTCAAAATACTCTGGTGACCCGAATGTCAGGCCCATATCCGTCTTCTTTGTCCGTGACAACTGGGACCTCGACAACATCTTTGTCACTGACTTTGGCCTCGGCGTTATAGGACTGCTTTTCCTCGTAGTTCCTCCAGTTGCCATGGTAGCAAAGGTCATGAGTGGACCTTGCAAAGTCATGTTTGAATCTGCACGAGGTCTGTCATGATATTTGGACATATTGTCTAAAGATGCAGAAGACATTTTAAGACTCCTCTGCCGACTTCCTGTCAAACGCCGAGATTGTGAGGAGAGAAGAAAGGACTCGAGAGGAGGGAGTTGTTTCAAACTGCCAGAAGATGTCTCTGTGATTGAAGGCTGATAAAGGTACGAAACAGGGCATTACAAACAAAACAATCCTTACATAAGTAGACCTTTGTTTTTAATTAAAAGTAATAACCATCAACCAGATATTTTTACAGAAATGGGAAATAAATGAATTCCAGAAATATTTCGAGTTAAAAATTGAATTGACAAATTAAAATATTTTAAAAAATTTGTTTGAAATGTCAGTAAGTAAAAGAAATCACAAGCTGTGAATTTAAATCTAAAAATGTTAAAAAAGTGAACCAAACAAGAAACAGGTGATGGTTATAAAGAAGATGCTGTATTACGGTCAGCAGATCAGTGAAGAAAACGGGAAAAGTGGAATGGTTTTTATTAATGTCTTCTAGAAAGTGAAGACACATCATTATGTGGATGTGAGAAGTTTTGTTATATCAAAAGTCATCATGTCGTACCAGATACTGGGAATAGCCGTGGAGTATTACAGGGATGACACATCATTCATTTTGTTCAATTAGGTGCATAAAATTCATCCAATCACAAACCTCTGTGAGGACAGAGCCCTGAGTCATTGGTCGAAGCAGTTCACCCCCTGGGGTATCGTCAATTAGAAATTCTTCTTCCCCATGGCTCATGTTTGACATTGCACGGGAGTTGATCTCGGCAAAAGCATCAAACACACTTTCAGGCAAAACACCGAGTTGGATTGACTCCTCCGTCAACTGACTTGCAAGGGAGATAAGCGTAATTGTTCGTTCCAACTGAAGGTCAGATAACTCTTGATCTTTCTCGTTAAGTGTTTTGAGAGCAGATCGCACCGATTCAAGAGTACGATGTTGCACGCTGGACATATTTTCTTCCTCCATCATACTTTTCATGTTATTTAGAGCCGATGACTGGCATTTAGGAAGATTATCCTCAACGATAAAGGCATCCATTATATCATGGCCGCTGACTGTGCTTCCCTGTCGTGACTGATAGCGGGGTGTGACATGTAGTATCCACTCTTTACAAGACCCTGACCCTGCAGACCGACTCCGACTTTTCCTTGTACATGCAGATCCCACCTCCGATAATTCCTCAATTGGAGTTGTTCCTGTCATTCCACGGGTGACGTACTGAGAAACAACACTCCCTCGCGATCTAGATAGAGGAGGTGAGCGTGGGGCGGACATACTGGACCGGGTCTAATAGCCACAGGGAAAAACAGCCATTACAGATCAATATGTTATTGATATGTTACAAATAATCCCATCATTACATTTAGAGATATATGACACAAGGTAATAAATGTCTATTGCTTCAAAGGACTCTTATTAGATGGTTTTTATCTAAAAATAGAACCTTAGTCATCACCACAAAAGAATTCAGTACAAGGGAAGTAACTCTAACAAACCCAAACCCATGACAGGATAAGTCCACCAGACCCTTGGGTAGAAACTATTTCTATATCTAGGGATGGTAATAAATGTTAAGTTAGGGAATCCTCTGTCTAAAACAGGAGACAAAATACATTAACGAGCTTTGATCCTGTCAATGTCTTTAACAATACACCATTTTTACTGACTGGCAACCATATCAAATCCTTTAGTTCTTTATCAATGCCCACTTGGGGCATTAAAAAGTGAGAATTCTATTGTACCTTCATAAGGAGGAAATAAAAAAATTTTGGGAGATTTTTCAGAGAAGAAAAACATTTGCTAAAAATTGATGTCTCTGTAATTCTCTAGTGTCCTAACACCATCCTACATGATGGGAGGACTTAACATATCAAACAAAACCAAATAACAAAATATAAAAAAAATGTCTCAAATTCAGCAAAAATTAATAAAATCCACAGCCACACAGTCAGAAAACACACAGATAAGAAACCAAACTCCTACAAGACACTCCATCAAATTAGTTTAATGATCAAATCCAGAAAATGTCAGATACAACCATTTGTTCTGTTAACCCTTTAAATCTTTATACATTTTTGTAATTTTTTTTTTCAAACTACGGGACCAGTGAACTCTTCATGGTAAGACTAAATGATATTTGGTTTCTGTTGTATTAAGACAATAGATATTAAAAATCATAGCAATCTTTAATAAATATATATGATAGATATCACCAAGGAGTTTATACAGCAAATGTTCAGGCAAATGGGTTCTGTTATATTGAAAGGGCCAAACCAATCATGTAGTGTTTTGCCGAGAGTAATCAGCCAAATAGGTTGTGTTTCACTGAGAGTGCTCAGCCAATCAGATTGTGTTTTACTGAGAGTGCTCAGCCAATCAGATTGTGTTTCACTGAAAGTACTCAGCCAATCAGATTGTGTTTCACTGAGAGTGCTCAGCCAATCAGATTGTGTTTAACTGAGATTGCTCGGCCAATTAGAGTTTGTTATTCTGTCTCTGACTACCTGGGCTTAAATATCTAATTATCTACACGTATAAGTAACAGTTACCAAGTAAATCTACATTTTGGTGGAGGGGGGAGGTAACATGTGACTAATAAAAGCATTTAAATAAAAGTATGGAAGCCAATAAGATCTCAAGCTTCACATCAACACTCTATAAATCTCTGTCAACCTACCGTTTTGTCGCACTGGGTGAGAAAAACAAAATCAATGTAATTTAGAGGTATCAAAATTGTGTCACGATACTCTTGAGAAAATAACAAAATAATTTGAAATTAAAATTAGAATATGAATTTACTTCACACCAAGCATTTTAAAATTTTAGACAAAAGCGTTTGGTTGTTGTTTGATATCTGTTATAGATACATAACTGGGAAGTAGAAAGAGACTGAGAACCAAAGAACTAAAGTTCAAACTTTCTTGAATTCAAATTTGGTCATTATCTGTTAATTTTAGGTATAACAGTTTCCTAATTGGATACCTGATCCCAGATTTAATTTCCCATCATTCATAGGAGCAAAGAGCTCAAAACAATGGTAACACCTGTATATTTTATTTTATAACACAAACCTTACGACAAACTACAAATGTTGAAGACATACATATTTCATTAAAAGCAATCACATGATGGCCACAAGTTGCCACAAGTTGCCACAATTTGCCACAATTAAGATGCAAGTTGCTAATTCCGACAACAGTATGGGAATATTTACATCAGAAGTGAGTGACAAATCACCTACCTTGTCTCTCGTCTCCGACTCAGGTTCTACCGCTGGAGGAGCTGAAAGCGCTCCAGACGACTTCCTGGCATTCATCACCTGGACCTGAAATGGACAGCATCAACTTGAAAACTGGTAGAGACCAAGGACAAGGAACGTTACAGTCCTGTTACAGTTCAGAATGGATGAACAGACAATATCTTAATAACCAAATTCTCGTCCAGACTTAAATGCAGCCATCTATTTTTAAAGTTAAGATTAAACACAATAATGTACATGCGTGAACCAAAATTATACTTTCATTGTAAGAATACTAACCAGTACTGTCTATATCAGTGGATTATCATTACCAGGTGATGTATAATGGTTAAAGGCAGTTATTTCACTCACATCGAGTCTACACTGAGGTTGTATGAATTTATCTATTCTTGATATCAGAACAAACAACTTATTTTTCTTCAATAAAAAACAGCTACATAAGTTTTTCATTTACTAATATTTAAAGAGTTGTGAAGTAACAAGTATTCTAAGAAACACAAACAACATTTAAAAACCACATACATTGTACAGTTAACCGACACATTGATATCACATGACAGGGGTCAAATGACATTGTAAATATATGCAAATAATCACATGACACAAAAACGTATGGTCACATGATTCCAAAAATCACATTGACAATCTACAAACACTAACATTACAACAGCAAAGTTTTTCATCAAAAATCAAAACGCATGCAAGAGTTAAGGAAACAATGACACTGAAATAGAGAGTTTTAGCACAGGTGGACATTTTGTAAATAATTGACAGGTGGACATTTTGTAAATAATTCACAGGTGGACATTTTGTAAATAATTGACAGGTGGACATTTTGTAAATAATTGACAGGTGGACATTTTGTAAATAATTCACAGGTGGACATTTTGTAAATAATTCACAGGTGGACATTTTGTAAATAATTGACAGGTGGACATTTTGTAAATAATTGACAGGTGGACATTTTGTAAATAATTGACAGGTGGACATTTTGTAAATAATTGACAGGTGGACATTTTGTAAATAATTGACAGGTGGACATTTTGTAAATAATTCACAGGTGGACATTTTGTAAATAATTCACAGGTGGACATTTTGTTAATAATTCCAGATTCTCCTGGTCGTCAATAACAACATCATGTTTTTATATACCGTTAAACAGAATAATATTTCATTCCATCTCTTCATAATATACAGATCTATGAAGGACCTCTTGGTTTTTTTCTGAACAACCTTTTCGAGTATGTGTTGAAACTTTTGTCCTTACAACAGTGAATGTACTGTATAATATTGAGAGCTGTATAAAATGGCTTTAGTCCATACTGACAGCTAACTCTATCACCTTATCTGAACACGATCTAAAATTCGTTGGAGGTCACACATAATTTCAAGATAATTTACAGCAAAAATGATCACATAAAAATATCCACTTGTACAAGAAAAAAAAAATTAAGTTGAAGACTCATAGAGATAACTATTTCTGTGGGACTTATTGAGATAGCTATTTCTGTGGGACTTCTTGAGATAGCTATTTCAGTGGGACTCACTGAGATAACTATTTCTGTGGAAAACTTATTGAGAGAACTATTTCTGTGGGACTCATTGAGATATCTATTTCTGTGGGAGACTTATTGAGATAACTATTTCTGTGGGACTCACTGAGATAAGTATTTCTGTGGGACTCACTGAGATAACTATTTCTGTGGGACTCACTGAGATAACTATTTCTGTGGGAGACTTATTGAGAGAACTATTTCTGTGGGACTCACTGAGATAACTATTTCTGTGGGACTCACTGAGATAACTATTTGTGGAGGACTTATTGAGACAACTATTTCTGTGGGACTCACTGAGATAAGTATTTCTGTGGGACTCACTGAGATAACTATTTCTGTGGAAAACTTATTGAGAGAACTATTTCTGTGGGACTCATTGAGATATCTATTTCTGTGGGAGACTTATTGAGATAACTATTTCTGTGGGACTCACTGAGATAAGTATTTCTGTGGGACTCACTGAGATAACTATTTCTGTGGGACTCACTGAGATAACTATTTCTGTGGGACTCACTGAGATAACTATTTGTGGAGGACTTATTGAGACAACTATTTCTGTGGGACTCACTGAGATAAGTATTTCTGTGGGACTCACTGAGATAACTATTTCTGTGGGACTCATTGAGATAACTATTTCTGTGGGACTCACTGAGATAACTATTTCTGTGGGAGATTTATTGATATTACTGTCTGTGGAAGACTTATTGAGACAACTATTTCTGTGGGACTCATTGAGATAAGTATTTCTGTGGGACTCACTGAGATAACTATTTCTGTGGGACTCACTGAGATAACTATTTCTGTGGGACTCACTGAGATAACTATTTCTGTGGGACTCACTGAGATAACTATTTCTGTGGGAGACTTATTGAGAGAACTATTTCTGTGGGACTCATTGAGATAACTATTTCTGTGGGAGATTTATTGATATTACTGTCTGTGGAGGACTTATTGAGACAACTATTTCTGTGGGACTCACTGAGATAACTATTTGTGGAGGACTTATTGAGATAACTATTTCTGTGGGACTCATTGAGATAACTATTTCTGTGGGAGATTTATTGATATTACTGTCTGTGGAGGACTTATTGAGACAACTATTTCTGTGGGACTCACTGAGATAAGTATTTCTGTGGGACTCACTGAGATAACTATTTCTGTGGGACTCACTGAGATAACTATTTCTGTGGGACTCACTGAGATAACTATTTCTGTGGGAGACTTATTGAGAGAACTATTTCTGTGGGACTCATTGAGATAACTATTTCTGTGGGAGATTTATTGATATTACTGTCTGTGGAAGACTTATTGAGACAACTATTTCTGTGGGACTCACTGAGATAAGTATTTCTGTGGGACTCACTGAGATAACTATTTCTGTGGGACTCACTGAGATAACTATTTCTGTGGGACTCACTGAGATAACTATTTCTGTGGGAGACTTATTGAGAGAACTATTTCTGTGGGACTTACTGAGATAAGTATTTCTGTGGGACTCACTGAGATAACTATTTCTGTGGGACTCACTGAGATAACTATTTCTGTGGGACTCACTGAGATAACTATTTCTGTGGGACTCACTGAGATAACTATTTCTGTGGGAGACTTATTGAGAGAACTATTTCTGTGGGACTCACTGAGATAACTATTTCTGTGGGAGACCTATTGATATTACTGTTTGTGGCAGACTTATGGAGATAACTGTTTGTGGGGGACTTATTGAGATAACTGTTTGTGGGGGACTTATTGAGATAACAGTTTTCAGGGACTTACTGCGATAAATATTGAGGTGGGACTTCTTGAGATAACTATTTCTAGGGGACTCATAGAGATTTCTAGGGGACACACTGAAATTGTTAAAATAGATTTTCTTGAATATTAACAAAACTATACAAAACAATTAAGAAAGTTCACAACAGAAAATTGCATCAAAGGTCAAGGTCAGACAAGTATAAAGTGAAAAAAGATCAGGGTGACAACATCAGAAGGTCGTTTTGTGACAACATCAAGGTCAAGGTGACAACATCTGTGATAACAAATATGTTTAAACCTGGGAGCTAGATCTTGGTGGAGAAGATGGGTCTGGCTGTGTTCCAGATCGAGACGAAGGTTCCAGTGAGTTGCTGACTGACATACGTTGCTGGGATGCTGTTCTCCTGGAATCAGATTTCTCCTGTGTGACCACCTGTACATCAAAGATAGGCTCATACTCTGTCTCCTCACTGTACAATTCAACATCACCGTGGCTACGCTCAGTGAGAACAGAATCTTCAGCAGCATGGCCAATTTCCTCTACAGTCAGGTGTTTGGAGAGTTGTGTGCTCCGCAGTGATAAAACATCACTATTACTTTTCCTGGATTCCAGTTTCCCATCTTCAACAACTGATTCTGTTTCTTCTTCCAGGTCTGAGTCACTTGTTCTCAGAGAATTGTGTACTTCTTCATGCTCGCTTTTCCTGGGAGTGCCTCCAGATTGTTCACTCTTTCGAGACACCACTCCAGATTCGTTACTTTTTCTGGAGGCAGCTCTAGACTGAGTGCTTTTTCTTGAGGTTGTTCCAGATTCAGAAATCTTACTTTTTTGCGATTCATTTCTCTCCAAACTCTTCTGGGATTCATTTCTCTCTATACTTTTCAATGAGCTTCTTCTTTTCATATTACTTCGAGTTTGGCTACGACTTTGACGGGACCCCCTGCGGGACCTGTTGTGGGACCCAGATTGCGACACTAACTCCTCCTCCAATTCTTCTGTCTCTTCTGCCTGCGATGGTGACCTTTGACTTTCCTCCTGTGTAGCAGACATTTTGGACTTTGACCTCTGTTTTTCTTGTGTAACCTTGGATGTTGACCTTTCACTTTCTTCTTGTGATGGAATCTTAGATGACCTTGACTCCTGACCGTCTTGATCAGACTCGACGTGAATATCTCCATCGGGAGTGACCTCCCTTGAATTAAGCACTTCCTGAGTTTCCTCTCTTGTTGTGTGGCGAGACAGAGTTTTCCTTGATCGCTTGGAGGCAACAGATCTTCGCTCCTGAGAACTGTTTTTAGACAAAACAGTGCCTTGTTTGTCTTCATCAGTAACTAACTTAGAATCTGTCTCATCATTCTCCTCATCTTCATCAGCTTCGTCAGGTTCCTCTAATTTTGACATCTCAGAGGCAATGTGTTCACTTTTCGTGCGGAAACTTGTTTTTGAGGCACTTGACCTTACAACTGTTTCTTCATCGTCCTCGTCGTCATTGTCTAATGATTTTTTCTCTGATGCTAATAACCATGGCGCCACATCAGAATTGATTGACGAGGATCGTCGGGATATAGCCTTGCTGTCTGATCTTTGTCGTTCATACTTTAAAACAAAATCACGGTTAGTTATAATATGTTAATATGGTATATTTTGTATAAATAAAAGAGTAAAAAGACTTTCTTAATGCCTGACATGATGTTTCAATACCCTTCCTACCTCTTCTACATCAACTGGATGGATCCTATCTCACACAGACAATAGTACTACTAAACGCTGAAATAAAATTATTTTAACAACTTTTTTGAAAAATATTTTACGGACTTCAAAGTTTTTCCTGGTACTGGTATTGTATTTCTCTGACTGTTTAAAACTGAAATAAAATAGGTTTATGACTTATGTGTAAGCTTCAAGCTATTTAACCTCTAAGGTCAAATATTGTGACCTTTCATTACCTTTGCATCATCTGTTTGTTGCATGAGATTGGTAAGTTCATGTTCTGACTCTTCACTCTGTACAAAGGTTGGAGGCGGTGCTCCTGTCTCTGCTCCAGGTTGTATGGGGGTCAAGGTCTTAGGTGAGCTAGAAGTCACGACCTCTGACTCATCATCATCATTTTGAGTAGGAATACTGACCATGACTGGTTTAGACACACCCTTCACAACTTCCTGTCTCTTCACTTCTTCTTCCTCCTCCTGAAAACAAAGTTCCGAATTTTTACCATCATTACTCATCTCACACAATCATTCTCCAAAGAATATAGTGTTGTAACTAACTTTGTGAGACAAATACACTGAGATACTGAAGCTTGTGAGGATGGACAGATGGATGAACAAACTACAAAGTTTAAGGGGATGGACAGATGGACAAACTACAAAGCTTAAGAGTATGGGCAGATGGTTGAACAAACTACAAAGTTTAAGGGGATGGACAGATGGACAAACTACAAAGTTTAAGGGAATGGACAGATGGACAAATTACAAAGCTTAATTGTGACGATGGACAGATTGACAGATAGACAGATGGACAGATGGACACTGATGGACTGATGGACAGATGGACAGATGGACTGATGGACATCTCTGTCAAACAAGTTTGTGTGGAAGAATTTTTACCAAGAAAGGACTTTTGAGGGGATGGACAGATGAACAACAGAAAAAAAAAATTGAAGGAAAACATATAAATTAAATTAATAAAATTGAATGATAGAGCAATGAGTAGACAGACAAAGTTACACAATGATTAACGTACCTGTCTAAAACTACTCCCAACAACAAGGAAATCCGGTGATTCCTCCATAATTCTCTCACGTTGTTATCAACACGTTTAAACACTAAATTTAACTAAAAATTTTCAGGCACTTCCTCACAACCTCAACACTGAAAAATCACTTTTCCAACTCAGAGCAGTAAACATCTTTAAGTTCTTTGTCTGTACTAATTCTAAATCTTCAGATTTAAAACTTAGTCTAATAAAACATCTAATCAATTGACCTGAAAATGAGGAATTCATTTCTACAAGAAAACTTAACATGTTCCTGTGATTTCAATGTGTGAGTATCCATAGCTCCTGTCCTCACAAGAATTACAGTTAATGTTTTAAGTTTTTCGTACCTGTCTGTCGTCATTGAATTGTTTACTAAATCTTATCTACATTTACCTGAACAGACAGGTCACGCCTCATTGGTGTCTGTATTTCAACACATTGTAACAAATGATTTAAATTTACCAAACCGTAACAGTGTGAAGTAGGTGTTTTATTGAATGTGACGCACTTATCTCCCTTGATCAGTAATACACCTGTATATAATGGAACTGCTTTAAAATCTGTCAACTTCATAAATCTGAACTCTGAACAGTGCATACAGGAGATACAGACATATCACTGTATACAGGAGATACAGACATCACTGTATACAGGAGATACAGACATATCACTGTATACAGGACATATCACAGGACATATCACTGTATACAGGAAATACAGACATCACTGTATACAGGAGATACAGACATCACTGTATACAGGAGATACAGACATATCACTGTATACAGGAGATACAGACATATCACTGTATACAGGAGATACAGACATCACTGTATACAGGAGATACAGACATATCACTCACTGGAGATATAGACATATCACTGTATACAGGAAATACAGACATCACTGTATACAGGAGATACAGACATCTCACTGTATACAGGAAATACAGACATCACTGTATACAGGAGATACAGACATCACTGTATACAGGAGATACAGACATATCACTGTATACAGGAGATACAGACATATCACTGTATACAGGAAATACAGACTTATCACTGTATACTGGAAATACAAACATCACTGTATACAGGAGATACAGACATCACTGTATACAGGAGATACAGACATATCACTGTATACAGGAGATACAGACATATCACTGTATACAGGAGATACAGACATCACTGTATACAGGAGATACAGACATATCACTCACTGTATACAGGAGATACAGACATATCACTATATACAGGAAATACAGACATCACTGTATACAGGAGATACAGACATCTCACTGTATACAGGAAATACAGACATCACTGTATACAGGAGATACAGACATCACTGTATACAGGAGATACAGACATATCAGTGTATACAGAAGATACAGACATCACTGTATACAGGAGATACAGACATATCACTGTATACAGGAGACACAGACATCACTGTATACAGGAGATACAGACATCACTGTATACAGGAGATACAGACATCACTGTATACAGGAGATACAGACATATCACTGTATACAGGAGACACAGACATCACTGTATACAGGAGATACAGACATCACTGTATACTGGAGATACAGACATATCACTGTATACAGGAGATACAGACATCACTGTATACAGGAGATACAGACATCACTGTATACAGGAGACACAGACATCACTGTATACAGGAGACACAGACATCACTGTATACAGGAGATACAGACATCACTGTATACAGGAGATACAGACATATCACTGTATACAGGAGATACAGACATCACTGTATACTGGAGATACAGACATCACTGTATACAGGAGATACAGACATATCACTGTATACAGGAGATACAGACATATCACTGTATACAGGAGATACAGACATATCACTGTATACAGGAGATACAGACATCACTGTATACAGACATATCACTGTATACAGGAGATACAGACATATCACTGTATACAGGAGATACAGACATATCACTGTATACAGGAGATACAGACATATCACTGTATACAGGAGATACAGACATATCACTGTATACAGGAGATACAGACATCACTGTATACAGGAGATACAGATATCACTGTATACAGGAGACATATCACTGTATACAGGAGATACAGACATATCACTGTATACAGGAGATACAGACATATCACTGTATACAGGAGATACAGACATATCACTGTATACAGGAGATACAGACATATCACTGTATACAGGAGATACAGACATATCACTGTATACAGGAGATACAGACATATCACTGTATACAGGAGATACAGACATCACTGTATACAGGAGTAACAGACATCACTGTATACAGACATATCACTGTATACAGGAGATACAGACATATCACTGTATACAGGAGATACAGACATATCACTGTATACAGGAGATACAGACATATCACTGTATACAGGAGATATAGACATATCACTGTATACAGGAAATACAGACACTGTATCACTGTATACAGGAGATACAGACATATCACTGTATACAGGAGATACAGACATATCACTGTATACAGGAGATACAGACATATCACTGTATACAGGAGATACAGACATATCATACAGACATATCACTGTATACAGGAGATACAGACATATCACTGTATACAGGAGATACAGACATATCACTGTATACAGGAGATACAGACATATCACTGTATACAGGAGATACAGACATCACTGTATACAGGAGATACAGACATATCACTGTATACAGGAGATACAGACATATCACTGTATACAGGAGATACAGACATATCACTGTATACACTGTATACAGGAGATACAGACATATCACTGTATACAGGAGATACAGACATATCACTGTATACAGGAGATACAGACATATCACTGTATACAGGAGATACAGACATATCACTGTATACAGGAGATACAGACATATCACTGTATACAGGAGATACAGACATATCACTGTATACAGGAGATACAGACATATCACTGTATACAGGAGATACAGACATATCACTGTATACAGGAGATACAGACATCACTGTATACAGGAGATACAGACATATCACTGTATACAGGAGATACAGACATATCACTGTATACAGGAGATACAGACATATCACTGTATACAGGAGATACAGACATATCACTGTATACAGGAGATCCTATTTATAATTATTTTACTCACCAATCTTTCCTGTTCGTTGATGAATTCTTCCAGCTGCGTCATGGCGACGTCTGCTTCCTTCTCAGCCTCAGTTTGAAGTTTCTGAGCCTGTTCTACTTGTTCTATAAGCACTTTTCTCTCCTGTAACATATATTTCAAACATTCACTTTTTTGGAATTGTTCTATATGTAGAATACCAAACTTTTATCTTTAATGGCTTAATACTTATTTTATCTTGTTATCAACACTTCCTCACCGTTTCCCACTTGCTCTTGTGTTCTTGGAACTGTGACTTCAAGGTCGTGACCTTTCTTTGGGTTTTGGCGACAGTTAGACCTAACTGTTCCTCTAGTTCAGACAGTTTCCTGATGGTCTGTGTATAAAATTTGTCAACAATTGTCAGATTATATAAACATATATTCCAGACAAATTATGACATATTTCAATTACTTTCTAGATTATCAGGTGACTTTAACATTCACATTCAATCAAATCATGTATTTGTAAATTCAGAACTAATATTTCTGATTCTTTTCAGTTCCTGTTTCACTGGTTAATACATTACTTAGAATGTCATGATGCTACTTAAGGAAAAAAATAATATTACTTGGAATAATGTGATATTATTTAGAATAACATTATATTTTTAAGAATAACATGATATTATATTTGGAATAACATTATATCATTTGGAATAATGCGATATTATTTAGAATAACATGATATTATATTTGGAATAACATTATATCATTTGGAATAACATTATATTATTTAGAATAACATTATATTTTTAAGAATAACATGATATTATATTTGGAATAACACGATATTATTTAGAATAACATTATATTTTTTGTAATCACACAATGTTATGATGTTACTTTCAATGTCACAGTCTGATTGGCTATTGTAAACAAATTTGATCCTCTTTACAACAAACACTTTGTATATACTCACCATTTTACGGTATTGTGCAAAACGACCAGGTATGGTTTCCACGGGAACAAGTGCCTGTCAATTACAGGGAAATATTTATAACACAAGAAAAACAAACACCAGGTAAGAGGTTTGTTTGAACAAAGGGGTTGAGACTTCTAAAAACTGACCAATGATTTACAATTTTCTGCTGTCATTTTGTGGGACATAATGAATTCATCTTTTATATATTTAGATATTGGGAGAGCTGAATTGAAATTTGATCAATTTAAGTATAAAATGTAAGAAAGTTATCAGAACTTTGTTTTAATGTCAGACTAACCCATGAATTTTCATCTGCAAGATCATAAGAATCCTCAAATTCAGCACCGTGGTCCGTTTCCTTAACAGTTTCCAGCGTTGATCTCGCCCTCTTACTTTGTCGAGTCTCTGCATGAGCAGACACGGGATCTCCACCCTCATCTTGTATAGAAGCATCAGCTGTTTCTGTGTGGACACAAAGATGTTTAATTATACACATGTTTTACACCTGTCTCATCCTATATACACAGACCATCACTATTGGTCAAATGATTTTACCTGTGTATGGAGACACTCAACAAGTGACCTTATATACAGGTAAACACAAAATGATTTTACCTGTGTATGGAGACACTCAACAAGTGACCTTATATACAGGTAAACACAAAATGATTTTACCTGTGTATGGAGACACTCAACAAGTGACCTTTATATACAGGTAAACACAAAATAATTTTACCTGTGTATGGAGACACTCAACAAGTGACCTTTATATACAGGTAAACACAAAATGATTTTACCTGTGTATGGAGACACTCAACAAGTGACCTTTATATACAGATAAACACAAAATGATTTTACCTGTGTATGGAGACACTCAACAAGTGACCTTTATACACAGATAAACACAAAATGATTTTACCTGTGTATGGAGACACTCAACAAGTGACCTTTATATACAGGTAAACACAAAATGATTTTACCTGTGTATGGAAACACTCAACAAGTGACCTTTATATGCAGGTAAACACAAAATGATTTTACCTGTGTATGGAGACACCCAACAAGTGACCTTTATATACAGGTAAACACAAAATGATTTTACCTGTGTATGAAGACACTCAACAAGTGACCTTTATTTACAGGTAAACACAAAATAATTTTACCTGTGTATGGATACACCTGACACCTGAACTTTATAAACAGGTAAAGAAAATTAACTGTGTATGGATAAACTCAACAAGTGACCTTTATATACAGGTAAACACAAAATGATTTTACCTGTGTATGGAGACACCCAACAAGTGACCTTTATATACAGGTAAACACAAAATGATTTTACCTGTGTATGAAGACACTCAACAAGTGACCTTTATATACCGGTAAACACAAAATGATTTTACCTGTGTATGGATAAACTCAACAAGTGACCTTTATATACAGGTAAACACAAAATAGTTTTACCTGTGGTTACACCTGACAACTGACCATTATATACAGGTAAACACAAACAAAATAATTTTACCTTTAAATTAAGGCAGTATCAAATGGTTTATAACCCTTCTATGAAGGTGAAAATCCGCATATTGAGGAATGTCATATTTCAGACAGCAATAGTTCTATTTATTAGGCACGATACATGTTTGTCCTTTTTCTATTGTAAATTCAGGAAGCTGTAGGATCGACTCTGCGTAGCGTAATTTGTGATTATTGATAAATGCCTACCATCAATTAAGGTTAAATTGACAACAAAAGAATGGGACCTGACACTGAACTTTCATGTTAAATCTTGGTCCAGAATGCGGTCAGTTTTGATGGATGACCCATCAAACTTGACCATTATGAGTGGATAATTTAAGTGGATATAACACAACATCCAAATTGTACAATTACAAATCAAACACTTATCTCCTTGATGAAATGTCAATGTTCACTAACCCAATAGAAAATTAATTATAACCCCCATTATAATGTTAACATTTCAATTACTGTATGTAGGCCGAACTCAATTAGACGATAAATAATTAAATGGATGGAGAGGTCTATTTAATGTAACAATACAAAGATGTTACTAGGTCTCACTACAGTAAATATCTCAGTAACCTAGTTAACTGTGAGGATGTTGTCAGGTCACTTTATACTCACTACAGTAAATATCTCAGTAACCTAGTTAACTGTGAGGATGTTGTCAGGTCACTTTATACTCACTACAGTGAATATCTCAGTTAACTGTGAGGATGTTGTCAGGTCACTTTATACTCACAACAGTAAATATCTCAGTAACCTAGTTAACTGTGAGGATGTTGTCAGGTCACTTTATACTCACAACAGTAAATATCTCAGTAACCTAGTTAATTGTGAGGATGTTATCAGGTCACTTTTTCCAATAAGAGATAGTTGTACTTTTTCAACAAAAACATTAAGAATACATTACTACAGCAACCATGTTACAATATTTTCTGGAAGAATGCTTGAAATATGTATTTTAAGCTCTTCATGACAAATAATAAAAGATATTGAAGTGTGAAAAATCTTCCACCCATCCAACATGGGGCCTGCTCCCCATCCGAGTGCCCCTCTCTAACCTTGCTACCAAGCACAAGTACCTTGTCGCTAGCCCCCAAGCCCCCTAAGACCCCTAGCAAGCTCACCATTTCTGTTTCACTTACCTTTCACTGGTTTCACAGGTGATTTTGACTAAAATGAAAAAAAAATCCACTTTATTTAAAGTGCCAGAACACAATCCATGCTGTGTTACCAAAAGTTCCTTACAGATTACAGATAAACGTTTATATCATCAATCAATTATTTACACTTTTCTGAAAGTAAATGGCGTTTACTGATGTCTATATCATCTGTCTATTCCCTAACACTCCACCAACTGTTTATTAGTAAGCCTCACTGCTGTAACATGTACATACCTCTGGTTTAGAGGGCTTTGTCGCTGTTTTAGCCGCCGGTGTGGTCCGTGTCACGGTTACCTTGGTAGGGGCTCCTTTACTAGATCTAGTGTCTTTCGTGCTTGGCCGACTTTCCTAAAACAAAAAAAATCATTCTGTGAACATTTGATAATTATTTATTTTTTTCTATTATGACAAGAAAACAGTTAGAATATCTGAAAAAATATCAAATGATATGAAGATCAATTTGTGTACGTATAATCTCACTCAGTCAGCACCTGTACCAATGTTTCCTTAAATGACAGCAAAATATCTCAAATCACCGATTCATATATACATGTACATATCATCATCATAATGTTTTGTATTTTACTCATAAATAAGACAGAAAAAAATGGGATAAATTTCTCTGTCTCTCAGATTTCCAAAAATCTGAATTATTATTGTGACAAACATTTAACTTTGTTATACAATATCTGAGTACCTGATAGTAAAAGTTATATAGTGTCTGAAGATATGATTTAAACTTTATAATTGAAAAGTGACTTTGCTATAATTTTGCTATAATTTTGCTATAGTTTTGCTGTAATTCTGAATAGAAAACGTAAACTAAAGGTAGTTATTCTGTAAGTTTAGATCAAATTGTCTGACGGCTAGTAATACCCAAAGACATTTGTTACACCTAGATCTGTTTACTATTGAATCCCTTTTCAACCCAAAAACAGTAATATAACTAGTTTCAAATGACATCAACAGTTTTATCTTACATGAATGGAACATTACCTTGCAAAACAAATTTTGAAAACTACATGTAAGGATAGGCATTGTTGAGCTTTAGTTATGCAACATAAAGTGATCTACACAACATATTAACACAAAGTGTAAACCCGTTATTGACTTTGGCGACTGTCTAACCTCAAATGAGTCAGGATCTGATAGAGCAAAGATAAATCAATTTTATTATTGAGTTTCTGGAAGAATGAAAACATGACTAGTTTTATCAAAGAAATTACTTTCTTAAGTAAAAATAAATCGATTCTAGAACTGCAATAAAGCCCGGAAATTCTGTCATTACTGAAAGCATTGTGATATTGATTACACAAGTAATAGATATACACCAACGTTTTTTCTCAGTATCAATCCTCGTAGGAGATAAAAATATTTTACAGAAATATTTCTCGTTAAAGCAAACTAATAAAAACACAAAATAGGGAGACGTTTTGTATGTTTTGTTCCGTGATGTATTGTCAGTAGACATGTGTGGAAGTTTTTTGTATCGGAGGAGCCCCTAAAAATATTAAAATATTAGATTTGTTGTCTGAAAATATTGTTGTTTTGTTTTTATTCCTGTGTTATATAAACTCTCAGTCTTTGTCATAAACATGCGCTTCACACATCGTAAATGTATTGAAAAGTTTGTAAAATTGAATTGTATTAAGCTTTTCAGAATCAAGGTTTTAAGGGTAATTAAAACCAGCTGTATTATACAGTTATCATAGCTGTACTGTACAGTTATTCCAGCTGTACAGTTATCACAGCTGTGTACAGTTATCACAGCTGTACTGTATAGTTATCATAGCTGTATTGTACAGTTATCACAGCTGTACTGTACAGTTATCACAGCTGTACTGTACAGTTATCACAGCTGTATTGTACAGTTATCACAGCTGTATTGCTCATCACAGCTGTACTGTACATATATCACAGCTGTATACAGTTATCACAGCTGTATTGTACAGTTATCACAGCTGCACTGTACATATATCACAGCTGTATACAGTTATCACAGCTGTATTGTACAGTTATCACAGCTGTACTGTACATATATCACAGCTGTATACAGTTATCACAGCTGTATTGTACAGTTATCACAGCTGTACTGTACATATATCACAGCTGTATACAGTTATCACAGCTGTATTGTACAGTTATCACAGCTGTACTGTACATATATCACAGCTGTATACAGTTATCACAGTTGTATTGTACAGTTATCACAGCTGTACTGTACATATATCACAGCTGTATTGTACAGTTATCACAGCTGCACTGTACATATATCACAGCTGTATACAGTTATCACAGCTGTATTGTACTGTTATCACAGCTGTACTGTACATATATCACTGCTGTATTGTACTGTTATCACAGCTGTATTGTACTGTTATCACAGCTGTACTGTACATATATCACAGCTGTATACAGTTATCACAGCTGTAATGTACAGTTATCACAGCTGTACTGTACATATATCACAGCTGTATACAGTTATCACAGCTGTATTGTACAGTTATCACAGCTGTACTGTACATATATCACAGCTGTATACAGTTATCACAGCTGTATTGTACAGTTATCACAGCTGTACTGTACATATATCACAGCTGTATACAGTTATCACAGCTGTATTGTACTGTTATCACAGCTGTACTGTACAGTTATCACAGCTGTATTGTACAGTTATCACAGCTGTACTGTACATATATCACAGCTGTATACAGTTATCACAGCTGTATTGTACTGTTATCACAGCTGTACTGTACATATATCACAGATGTATTGTACAGTTATCACTGCTGTATTGTACAGTTATCACTGCTGTACTGTATAGTTATCACTGCTGTACTGTATAGTTATCACAGCTGTGCTGTATAGTTATCACTGCTGTACTGTACAGTTATCATAATGATAATAATAACTGATAATACCCAGCTTATGTATGGTAGAATATTATCTTAGGAGATTTTGACAATACCCAGCTTCTGTACAGTACAATATTATTTTGACAATACCCAGCTTCTGTACAGTACAATATTATTTTGACAATACCCAGCTTATGTACAGTACAATATTATTTTGACAATACCCAGCTTCTGTACAGTACAATATTATTTTGACAATACCCAGCTTCTGTACAGTACAATATTATTTTGACAATACCAAGTTTATGTACAGTACAATATTATTTTGACAATACCCAGCTTATGTACAGTACAATATTATTTTGACAATACCCAGCTTATGTACAGTACAATATTATTTTGACAATACCCAGCTTATGTACAGTACAATATTATTTTGACAATACCCAGCTTATGTACGGTAGAATATTATTTTGATAAAACCCACCTTAGGAGGTTTTTGATACAATCTAACTTTGTAAGCCTTTTTGATAATTTTAACAAAAAGAAAATGCCTATAAAATTTTAATCATAAATGTAGATTGATGAAACAAGATAAAAAAGGCAACATTTTGTTGTGGTGAAGACTAAATTAATGGCATGTTTAAAAATATTTTCTTTTGTTTAATTTTCAATCTTGTTTCATCAATTTTTATTTATAATTAAGATTTTCAAGTATTTTCATGACTTAAATTTACGTGGTAACGTACGTACGTAAAGACTTCGTCAATCCAGGACAGTCCGATTAATGTCATGTTGTCAAATAATGACCATATAAGTAACAGTAAACAAACACAATTCCCTAACTAAGTTGACTTCCTTAAGCTTTCGTTGTTTCTTACCTTCGAAGTCTTTTTCGCGACACTGAGCTTCTTCTTTCCGTGGAAGGAAGACATCTTGTTTCACTTTTTCTCACTTATCACACTTAACACTTTACAGTGATGTACAAACAAGTGTTTCCATCTATTTAAGCTTTTTAACATGTTTACAATGTAACTTGTAGGTTCTAAAACAAAAATCCTTCATCTTTGGTGTCTACTTTCATTTTATAAAATACCCTACTAACATTCATATATCATTCTTCAATAATATCTACAAATTTATTAAAACATAATTTTTTATATTACAATATAAAATATCTTATAATTTGATGACAACATTTCACGCCAGTCATTATTTTTTTCTAACAGAATTTTCCTTCATTTTTTGTCATTGAAGATAAACTTTTAACTCATCCAATTGATACAATGCAATGTTTTTGTTTAGAAACCTGTCACAATGTACGATAATCAACTCTTCATGATAATATCCTGTCTTCTATTCTTAAATTCTCCTTAGAAATATAGAATGCAATGACCCGTAGACTATAGAACACGCCCTATAAAAACCGTTATACATATCCACGCTTTGTGTCCATTCCAATCCATGCTTTTCACGTGAAAGGTACAGAGCATGGCATACACGACTCAGTAAACATCGTCATAATATTTTCATTTGACACAAGAGATGATCGTCATGACGACAACGTCAGCAGCGGCCTGGTTACTGACATGTCGGAGTGACAGGTACGGTGAAATGAACAGTGTTGCTGTTACGCTCAATAGTCAGGCCTATTATCCCATCATTTAATATAGCTTTGTTCAATTTTACAGTCAATACTAATAAGGAAGAACACTGGTGGGGAACTACCTGCGAGGTAAGTTTGGTTTCTGTGAGCTGAGGCAAATAATTCTAACCTTATCCAATTTTACCTGTAAACTTCGTGTATTTCATCAGAACAGCATTTACCTGTAAATACCTGACTTAGTGTATTTCATCAGCACAATATTTACCTGTAAAGACATTTACCTGTAAACATCTGACTCAGTGTACTTCATCAGAACAGCATTTACCTGTAAATACATTTACCTGTAAACACATTTACCTGTAAACACCTGACTTAGTGTATTTCATCAGAACAGCATTTACCTGTAAATACCTGACTTAGTGTATTTCATCAGAACAGCATTTACCAGTAAATACATTTACCTGTAAACACATTTACCTGTAAATACCTGACTTAGTGTATTTCATCAGAACAGCATTTACCTGTAAACACATTTACCTGTAAACACATTTATCTGTAAACACATTTACCTGTAAACACATTTACCCAGATAACGTTCTGTTACACAGATGTTACATATAAATCATGACATTTCTGATCACATAATGAACAATTTACAACAAATTTTATTTCACATTTGTGTTGACAATCTTTAATCTTTTAACTTCCAATTCAGTTGTGCTTTATAGAGGTCTTGGATGTTTCAGATCAAATGGAACCAGGCCAATCAGTTTACTAAGCAAACCTTCATAACATCTGTATGTTAAACTTTGTTTGACAATCTCCAAAGTCACCATGATTAAATTGCTATCATATGTTTTTATTTTCTGACAGATGACTCATGGTTTCAGGCAATTATTTGTAAATCCATTGAACAATTTCTCTTCTACTATAGCAATGTCTCCCATGGAGTGGCCACTTTCCAGGTACAGAGGCTGTTATCTATAGTCTGTTTCACAATACTCACAAAAGAGCCCCCTACACACCAACACTGTTCAATCAATACTCTCAAATACCTGGGCTGGCAATGAAACACCGTCACAAAGGGTCGGTAAATACTGGACCCCAGAACAGTAAGTATGGCATGCTTAACACAGGTAATCAAGATCACTAATTAAAAAGGTCAAAAACACTTTCAAAATCAAAATTACCAAATAAGGAGAGAAAATAATTAACGTTTTATGTACTATGTTGATAAAAGGAAACTTTATTCTTTATCGACTGTTAACGATTTTCTGACGAAAAATTACGAAATCGATACGAAATTTACAGTAATTATACTCACAACATCAAAAATTGTGATTATTATAGTTGCATGTATAAACTTTCAATACAGTACACATATACTGATGATGTAATTCACAAGAGTAAAATGTCTAAAACAGTATATACACATACTGATGATGTAAAACACCAAAAACACTTCATAATCTGATTGTATAGTTCAGCAGGGCACAAAAGCATAACAATGATAATAGGAAAGATTTCTGCTACATGACAAGTAAAACTGTGAAAAATATAGAAGTTTTGATAATTTTTGTCACTTTAACCATCAGGGCCTGTATTCATGACACCATTCTCATGCTCAAGCATAGATTTTCTGCTCAAGCAGACTTTTAATAATTCACTTAAATTATATAAAATAATACAAATGTCAAATTTAAACCTTGAATATAGCTTTGACTTGAAGTCCTTTCAAAATGGTTTTTAAATCTTAGGCAAAATCAGCCTTATTTATCAATTTTGAACTTAAACAAGACATAAAACTTGAGCATAAAATTCATGATTGAGCATGAGAACGGTTTCATAAATATGGGCCCAGGACTTTTTTCAACATGCAAATGAAATAGTTCCGATATACTGTGCGAACAGGATTTACCATACACAGAGTACTGCATCCAATGTCTATTCTTAATCAAATAAAGAATATTTAAATCTTTACTTGACTTGTTTCGAAGTATTTTGGACTTAAATCTTACTAGAACACCCAAATATCTGTCAGTTATATAAAGTATTCAAGCTAAGTAAATCAATGATAAGAAAGTCAATGTTATAAACATCTGTAGATTATATGTAGACTAGAATTGTTTTGTAAACATACAATTAATTATGAACTCATTCATCGCTATATTAACCCTCTTAACATAACTGAAATAAACGTCAACAACAAATTTCAATGAATTCTGGAAAATCCTGTAGGAATTAATATTTCATAATTGAATTGTTTAAATTCAAATCAATATTTGAAAATATATTCATTTATTTTCTTTCTCTATTTTTAGGCTAAACGTACTCAGTACACATAGCCTATTGCGACGGCCTTTTAGACAAAATTTACCAATCCTGGCCTTCTCATTGGCTGAAATATCGAAAAGAGTTAGAGCCCTCTAGCGGCAATTTTCTGTGTAAATAATGCTGCGATCTTTCAAATTGCTATTTTAAAAGCATCCACAATTAGTTTATTTTTTTTAATAACAATACGATTACTATATATTTCACTAAAGAAGCACAGTGTGGTTGAACTGTTGATAAATTTTGAACAATATCTTTGATTTCTTTATGTTACAACATAACAACCTGAGTATAGATCAGTAACATATGTAAAGAGTCCAGTGTCCGTTATATTCCTAGCTTTGTGACATGTTTAGTGTTATCGTAAATCATGCACTGCAAGGGCTGTAACTTTTACAATTTCTTTCCTTTTTTTTTTTCTTTCGTTTTTTGAATGAGAGAGAAAAGGGAAAAAAATGACAAAAAAAGGAAATATTGTGTTAGGAATATTATGAATTTGTGAATAATATGTCATTTTTGCTAAAAGGTTTTAGTATAACCAACAAAATCGGAATAATTTTAACCATCATAAAAAATCTATAAAAACAAACAGTGAAAGTCTTTACAATAATTATCTATCTAATATTTGACAGAAACAAAAATAAAAATTACCCTAGAATGTACAACATATGTGACAACGGTACAGTGTAACTAAAGAGAAACATAACCGAATAAAATCAAAAACAGAAAACAAAGTTATAAGACAACCAATGTGTTCTATAGGACTACATGATATATGTAACAATACATAGAGATGGGAAAGGATGAGAAGTGAGGTCACTTATGACAAACCATTTTGATACAAATATCAATGTACAAAAATTGATACATCATTTCTGTACAAATAGCAACAATGGACAAAACGTAAAACTAAAGAAGAATTATTTTAGAAGGGAGACAACTTTTTCTGATGATGAAATGTACAAAAAAATATAGGAGGGAAAATCAAGAGAAAAGGGAGATAATTTGACCTTACCCGGCTACGTGACCGTGACTTAGCACGGTCAAATTGTAGCTTTTTCTTCTGATGCAAGTATGGGAATGAAAGAATGATTATGTAACATATGTATAACAGCATGATATATCTCCACACACTATAAATGTACATATTACATGACATGAAAACAATTCAAATCCTTTGACAAGTCAGTGCATTAGTGGAACTTAAGAAATGAGAACCAGTTAAGAAAAATATAGACAAGAACATGAGATTAATTATAGTACAGATAACAGGTTACATGTCTTCTGAAATAGTTTAAATATATCTAATGAATTTAATTTTGTGCTGAAGATAAATCCAGGTTTTTATTAATACTCATTATATTGTATCATTAGTTATAGAATTGTTTTCTAAATGTGTCTTTATCTCGGAGCCACAAAGTGATAAATCTTTATCTAGACTTGGAGTCACACCTTGTTGAATCTTTATCTAGACTCTGAGTCACACAGTGATGTATCTTTATCTAGACTCAGAGTCTTACAGTGTTGAATCTTTATCTAGACTCAGAGTCACACAGTGTTGTATCTTTATCTAAACTCAGAGTCACACAGTGTTAAATCTTTATCTAGACTCTGAGTCACACAGTGTTAAATCTTTATCTAGATTCAGAGTCACACAGTGATGTATCTTTATCTAGACTCAGAGTCTTACAGTGTTGAATCTTTATCTAGACTCTGAGTCACACAGTGTTAAATCTTTATCTAGATTCAGAGTCACGCAGTGATAAATCTTTATCTAGACTCAGAGTCACACAGTGATAAATCTTTATCTAGACTCAGAGTCATATAGTGTTAAATCTTTATCTAGACTCAGAGTCACACAGTGTTGTATCTTTATCTAAACTCAGAGTCACACAGTGTTAAATCTTTATCTAGACTCTGAGTCACGCAGTGATAAATCTTTATCTAGACTCAGAGTCACACAGTGATAAATCTTTATCTAGACTCAGAGTCACACAGTGATAAATCTTTATCTAGACTCAGAGTCATATAGTGTTAAATCTTTATCTAGACTCAGAGTCACACAATGATAAATCTTTATCTGGACTTGGAGTCACACAGTGAATATTCCCTTTGTTTACTTGGGACAACGGAGAAAAGACGAATACTAACCTGACGAGAACTGTCTCTAGACACACCATCATCCTCAGCCTCCGGGGGTTGTGACTCAATTTCTGTGGTGGGGCGGGAATCTCCAGCAGAACCCTGAGTAAAGCAACAACAAAGTTAGACTTTTTATATATATAAAAAAAAAAAAACACAGAAATATCATATTTTTTATTTAAAACAAAACTTAAGAACATAATGAAATTACGTACATATAACAGAGAACATGAAAGAAAAAAGTTCCATTTAACATCAATTTACTGATGTTTACTTTAAAAATTACAAAATACTAACATTCCATTGTATTTATCAACAAAAACAAAAACATAAATTATCAAATATATGATATATATCAATAGTGGATCAAGGGGCTTAAATGGGTATAAAAACATAAGGACAGGTAAGGGAGATCAGGTAGGTCGTTAGTGGATTCTGTAATTACACTCAGATAATGACAGCCAAAAACAAAACTCATCCTTTTTCAATTTTTTAAAAATCATATGAATATTAAGTTGTTTCCAAAACAGTGATTTTTTTCTACGTTGTATGAGATTAAGTCTTTGGCTGTCATTTTAACATTAATGAAGACGGCAGTTATTATACATCAATTAATGTAAAAAGCAATCAACAGTTACACTAATTAAGATAATAAGTAATTAACAGCAATGACATTAAAATTAGTAAATGTCACACGAGTGTTATATACACAGGAATGTGTTATCAGCACACAAGGAAAGGGGAGGCAACTCCAGCATACCTGTAAGCAGACCTATAAAGCTATCTAAAATTTCTGAAAATAATCTCTTAATTCTGTAAGCAACAAAATATTTGATGACACCTTATCTAAAATTCTAAAACATTTTTGGATACATCTCATTATTTTTTTTTTTTTCTATAAACTATTCGGGAATTCTTTTTTTTTATATAATTTTCCAGTTAATATTTCCAGTTTTTGATTGTACAGGCAGGTACAAGTATTCTCAGAAAATTTCTTAATTTGTTTTCAAGTTTTGTGATTATCTGTATTGCGATTCAGGACCATATTTGTTATTACAGGTGTAGGGTTTGTGTAGATGTATAATTGTCTATATATATATAATAAAATTAGATATCTTAAATTTCTATTTATAACATACACTACCAATAACATCAATCAATAGAACACAGTTGAATGCCACATATTAAACTGTTTAATAATAATTTTGATGCCCATTACTGTACAAAAATTAACATCTTATTCCAACCAATTATTGCATGATAGATAACATTTAAACTTCATAATTTGTCTTGAAATGAACTTTATATGTAAATATGTCTGTGCTATTTTAAAATCTAACACCCCTACCGGGATCAAATGGTTTTAGTTTTATAGTAATATATAATATTTAAACGTTAATGCTAAAATCAAATTATGAAAATTTATAAAAACACTAAAATTTCACAATGAATGACTATCTTAAAGATAATGAAATAAAGGTGACTGGATTATCTACTGGGAATGAAGGTGACTGGATTATCTACTGGGAATGAAGGTGACTGGATCACTACTGGGAATGAAGATGACTGGATTATCTACTGGGAATGAAGGTGACTGGATTATCTACTGGGAATGAAGGTGACTGGATCACTACTGGGAATGAAGGTGACTGGATTATCTACTGGGAATGAAGGTGACAGGATTATCTACTGAGAATGAAGGTGACTGGATTATCTACTGGGAATGAAGGTGACTGGATTATCTACTGGGAATGAAGGTGACTGGATTATCTACTGAGAATGAAGGTGACTGGATTATCTACTGGGAATGAAGGTGACTGGATCACTACTGGGAATGAAGGTGGCTGGATTATCTACTGGGAATGAAGGTGACTGGATTATCTAATGGGAATGAAGGTGACTGGATTATCTACTGGGAATGAAGGTGGCTGGATCACTACTGGGAATGAAGGTGGCTGGATTATCTACTTGGAATGAAGGTGATTGGATTATCTACTGGGAATGAAGGTGACTGGATTATCTACTGGGAATGAAGATGACTGAATTGTCTACTGGGAATGAAGGTGGCTGGATCACTACTGGGAATGAAGGTGACTGGATTATCTACTGGAAATGAAGGTGACTGGATTATCTACTGGGAATGAAGGTGACTGGATCACTACTGTGAATGAAGGTGACAGGATTATCTACTGGGAATGAAGGTGACTGGATCACTACTGGGAATGATGGTGGCTGGATTATCTACTGAGAATGAAGGTGACTGGATTATCTACTGGGAATGAAGGTGACTGGATTATCTAATAATTTTCCATTTTTTATTTCATGTCTTATATAACTTTCAATGATTGGTCAAAGTTTAAATTTGAAAGTTTAAGATAATAAAACATATCTTTGAAAAAATTCATCACGTTACTGATCTCACTCATCATCTATACATCAACCTTACAGCAGACATTTTTATCTATTTGGACCACTTATCTATGATATTCTGTTTCTTTGTTTGAGTTTGAAATCCATTACTGACGACTAATACAGGTCAAATTAGAGTGTTATTTGGATTAAACAACAGACAGGTTAGTTAATAAGTCTGATTAATTAAACTTAAATTTCTCTTTTTTTTTCAAGAAATTAAGGCTAACCACCCCTCTGAAGAATAATGGTTTAGACTTTCTTCTGATCTGAACCAGTTCATACAGATTTATAGGGGTAATAGAAGTTTATCTGCTACTTCAGCTGTTCTTTAAAAGTATTATATTTACAACAAAAGTTTAAAAAATGACATCAAATATTTTTCTAATGTACTTTTTATATCTTATTCAGTAACTTCTCAACTGTTCAGCTGTAACAGCAAATTTTGATGTTTTATTTTCAGTGACCAATACTATCGAGGCGATGTACCTCGATCTTTACTACAGTAAATCATAACGTGACTCATAGATACAGATCATCAAAATTAGAGCTCTTCTTCAGTGGAGGAGCAAAAGACAGATTCATAGGTTAAAGTAAGTTTCTATAAATATTTGAATACTTAGTCAATCCAATTGATAATTTCATAATTTTATTTCAAAGAACAGCTGGTAAACATGATAAACTTGTGAGCACCATCCCTGATTCAGGATATGGTGCCACATACTTCAAGCTGTATTGCTAATAAATCCTGACGGGCTTTGTCAGCCGCGTCCGTAGCATCAGCTACCAGCCTCTCTGTTTCCTCCACTTTCGAGTTAGCCTCCAGTAAATCGTCCTAGGAAAAAAGTGGTGACAATCTTCCGTTCAAAGTTACGCATTACAATATCAAACTATTACAAATTAACATGATACCAAACTTGGTGAAACTGAAATAGAAGTTTGTGAAAGAATCAATTTTTTCCTTATTATACACCATAGAGGCATGAAATCTAATTTGTCCTCAGAGCTTCATTGGTGTACTGTGTGATGGTGAGTGTTGTGTATGGTCAGTGTTTATAGTGTTGTGTATGGTCAGTATTTATAGTGTTGTGTATGGTCAGTGTTGTGTATGGTCAGTGTTTATAATGTTGTGTATGGTCAGTGTTGTGTATGGTCAGTATTTATAGTGTTGTGTATGGTCAGTGTTTATAGTGTTGTGTATGGTCAGTGTTTATAGTGTTGTGTATGGTCAGTATTTATAGTGTTGTGTATGGTCAGTGTTTATAGTGTTGTGTATGGTCAGTGTTTATAGTGTTGTGTATGGTCAGTATTTATAGTGTTGTGTATGGTCAGTGTTGTGTATGGTCAGTGTTTATAGTGTTGTGTATGGTCAGTATTTATAGTGTTGTGTATGGTCAGTGTTGTGTATGGTCAGTGTTTATAGTGTTGTGTATGGTCAGTGTTTATAGTGTTGTGTATGGTCAGTGTTTATAGTGTTGTGTATGGTCAGTGTTTATAGTGTTGTGTATGGACACTGTTGTGTATGGTCAGTGTTTTATAGTTTATAATGTTGTGTATGGTCAGTATCTATAGTGTTGTGTATGGTCAGTGTTTATAATGTTGTGTATGGTCAGTATCTATAGTGTTGTGTATGGTCAGTGTTGTGTATGGTCAGTGTTTATAGTGTTGTGTATGGTCAGTGTTTATAGTGTTGTGTATGGTCAGTGTTTATAGTGTTGTGTATGGTCAGTGTTTATAGTGTTGTGTATGGTGTTGTGTATGGTCAGTATAGTGTTGTGTATGGTCAGTGTTTATAATGTTGTGTATGGTCAGTATCTATAGTGTTGTGTATGGTCAGTGTTGTGTATGGTCAGTGTTTATAGTGTTGTGTATGGTCAGTGTTTATAGTGTTGTGTATGGTCAGTGTTTATAGTGTTGTGTATGGTCAGTGTTGTGTATGGTCAGTGTTTATAGTGTTGTGTATGGTCAGTGTTTATAATGTTGTGTATGGTCAGTATCTATAGTGTTGTGTATGGTCAGTGTTTATAATGTTGTGTATGGTCAGTATCTATAGTGTTGTGTATGGTCAGTGTTGTGTATGGTCAGTGTTTATAGTGTTGTGTATGGTCAGTGTTTATAGTGTTGTGTATGGTCAGTGTTTATAGTGTTGTGTATGGTCAGTGTTTATAATGTTGTGTATGGTCAGTATCTATAGTGTTGTGTATGGTCAGTGTTTATAATGTTGTGTATGGTCAGTATCTATAGTGTTGTGTATGGTCAGTGTTGTGTATGGTCAGTGTTTATAGTGTTGTGTATGGTCAGTGTTTATAGTGTTGTGTATGGTCAGTGTTTATAGTGTTGTGTATGGTCAGTGTTTATAGTGTTGTGTATGGTCAGTGTTTATAGTGTTGTGTATGGTCAGTGTTGTGTATGGTCAGTGTTTATAGTGTTGTGTATGGTCAGTGTTTATAATGTTGTGTATGGTCAGTATCTATAGTGTTGTGTATGGTCAGTGTTTATAATGTTGTGTATGGTCAGTATCTATAGTGTTGTGTATGGTCAGTGTTGTGTATGGTCAGTGTTTATAGTGTTGTGTATGGTCAGTGTTTATAGTGTTGTGTATGGTCAGTGTTTATAGTGTTGTGTATGGTCAGTGTTTATAATGTTGTGTATGGTCAGTATCTATAGTGTTGTGTATGGTCAGTGTTTATAATGTTGTGTATGGTCAGTATCTATAGTGTTGTGTATGGTCAGTGTTGTGTATGGTCAGTGTTTATAGTGTTGTGTATGGTCAGTGTTTATAGTGTTGTGTATGGTCAGTGTTTATAGTGTTGTGTATGGTCAGTGTTGTGTATGGTCAGTGTTTATAGTGTTGTGTATGGTCAGTGTTTATAATGTTGTGTATGGTCAGTATCTATAGTGTTGTGTATGGTCAGTGTTTATAATGTTGTGTATGGTCAGTATCTATAGTGTTGTGTATGGTCAGTGTTGTGTATGGTCAGTGTTTATAGTGTTGTGTATGGTCAGTGTTTATAGTGTTGTGTATGGTCAGTGTTTATAGTGTTGTGTATGGTCAGTGTTTATAATGTTGTGTATGGTCAGTATCTATAGTGTTGTGTATGGTCAGTGTTTATAATGTTGTGTATGGTCAGTATCTATAGTGTTGTGTATGGTCAGTGTTGTGTATGGTCAGTGTTTATAGTGTTGTGTATGGTCAGTGTTTATAGTGTTGTGTATGGTCAGTGTTTATAGTGTTGTGTATGGTCAGTGTTTATAGTGTTGTGTATGGTCAGTGTTTATAGTGTTGTGTATGGTCAGTGTTTATAGTGTTGTGTATGGTCAGTATTTATAGTGTTGTGTCTGGTCAGTGTAACAAGTGTTGTGTATGGTCAGTGTCTATAGTGTTGTGTATGGTCAGTGTTTATAGTGTTGTGTATGGTCAGTATTTATAGTGTTGTGTATGGTCAGTGTTTATAGTGTTGTGTCTGGTCAGTGTTTATAGTGTTGTGTCTGGTCAGTGTTTATAGTGTTGTGTATGGTCAGTGTTTATAGTGTTGTGTATGGTCAGTGTTTATAGTGTTGTGTATGGTCAGTATTTATAGTGTTGTGTATGGTCAGTGTTTATAGTGTTGTGTATGGTCAGTGTTTATAGTGTTGTGTATGGTCAGTGTTTATAGTGTTGTGTATGGTCAGTGTTGTGTATGGTCAGTGTATGTTATGGTCAGTGTTTATAGTGTTGTGTATGGTCAGTGTTGTGTATGGTCAGTGTTTATAGTGTTGTGTATGGTCAGTGTTTATAGTGTTGTGTATGGTCAGTGTTTATAGTGTTGTGTATGGTCAGTGTTTATAGTGTTGTGTATGGTCAGTGTTGTGTATGGTCAGTGTTTATAGTGTTGTGTATGGTCAGTGTTTATAATGTTGTGTATGGTCAGTATCTATAGTGTTGTGTATGGTCAGTGTTTATAATGTTGTGTATGGTCAGTATCTATAGTGTTGTGTATGGTCAGTGTTGTGTATGGTCAGTGTTTATAGTGTTGTGTATGGTCAGTATTTATAGTGTTGTGTATGGTCAGTATTTATAGTGTTGTGTATGGTCAGTGTTTATAGTGTTGTGTATGGTCAGTGTTTATAGTGTTGTGTATGGTCAGTATCTATAGTGTTGTGTATGGTCAGTGTTTATAGTGTTGTGTATGGTCAGTGTTGTGTATGGTCAGTGTTTATAGTGTTGTGTATGGTCAGTGTTTATAGTGTTGTGTATGGTCAGTGTTTATAGTGTTGTGTATGGTCAGTGTTTATAGTGTTGTGTATGGTCAGTGTTGTGTATGGTCAGTGTTTATAGTGTTGTGTATGGTCAGTGTTTATAGTGTTGTGTATGGTCAGTATTTATAGTGTTGTGTATGGTCAGTGTTTATAGTGTTGTGTATGGTCAGTATTGTGTATGGTCAGTGTTTATAGTGTTGTGTATGGTCAGTATTGTGTATGGTCAGTGTTTATAGTGTTGTGTATGGTCAGTATTTATAGTGTTGTGTATGGTCAGTGTTTATAGTGTTGTGTATGGTCAGTGTTTATAGTGTTGTGTATGGTCAGTATTTATAGTGTTGTGTATGGTCAGTATTGTGTATGGTCAGTATTTATAGTGTTGTGTATGGTCAGTATCTATAGTGTTGTGTATGGTCAGTGTTTATAGTGTTGTGTATGGTCAGTGTTTATAGTGTTGTGTATGGTCAGTGTTTATAGTGTTGTGTATGGTCAGTGTTTATAGTGTTGTGTATGGTCAGTGTTGTGTATGGTCAGTGTTTATAGTGTTGTGTATGGTCAGTATTTATAGTGTTGTGTATGGTCAGTATTTATAGTGTTGTGTATGGTCAGTATTTATAGTGTTGTGTATGGTCAGTATTTATAGTGTTGTGTATGGTCAGTGTTTATAGTGTTGTGTATGGTCAGTGTTTATAGTGTTGTGTATGGTCAGTGTTTATAGTGTTGTGTATGGTCAGTGTTTATAGTGTTGTGTATGGTCAGTATTTATAGTGTTGTGTATGGTCAGTATCTATAGTGTTGTGTATGGTCAGTATCTATAGTGTTGTGTATGGTCAGTATTTATAGTGTTGTGTATGGTCAGTGTTTATAGTGTTGTGTATGGTCAGTGTTTATAATGTTGTGTATGGTCAGTGTTTATAGTGTTGTGTATGGTCAGTATTTATAGTGTTGTGTATGGTCAGTATTTATAGTGTTGTGTATGGTCAGTGTTGTGTATGGTCAGTGTTTATAGTGTTGTGTATGGTCAGTGTTTATAGTGTTGTGTATGGTCAGTGTTTATAGTGTTGTGTATGGTCAGTATTTATAGTGTTGTGTATGGTCAGTATCTATAGTGTTGTGTATGGTCAGTGTTGTGTATGGTCAGTATTTATAGTGTTGTGTATGGTCAGTATCTATAGTGTTGTGTATGGTCAGTGTTGTGTATGGTCAGTATTTATAGTGTTGTGTATGGTCAGTATCTATAGTGTTGTGTATGGTCAGTGTTGTGTATGGTCAGTGTTTATAGTGTTGTGTATGGTCAGTGTTTATAGTGTTGTGTATGGTCAGTATTTATAGTGTTGTGTATGGTCAGTATCTATAGTGTTGTGTATGGTCAGTATTTATAGTGTTGTGTATGGTCAGTATCTATAGTGTTGTGTATGGTCAGTGTTTATAGTGTTGTGTATGGTCAGTATTTATAGTGTTGTGTATGGTCAGTATCTATAGTGTTGTGTATGGTCAGTGTTTATAGTGTTGTGTATGGTCAGTGTTTATAGTGTTGTGTATGGTCAGTGTTTATAGTGTTGTGTATGGTCAGTGTTTATAGTGTTGTGTATGGTC